CATTGCAGTATTAAAACTAAGTATACAGACGACGACACACGAGCGTAGTAGCGCCGCGTCATCGTTGACGTGTATCATGGTAGTTCGTCACAATTCGTCATCGCGCGGCTTCTTTTTTAGTACATTAGCCAGAGGCAGGCGGCCGCTTACGATACTTAGATATCGTTCGACGATCGCTCATCGTTTCACGGCAAATTTTTCCGTCGCATTACCCCGCCGATCGCAAAGTGCGCAACCTTTTCTCTTCGAACTATACTGCCTTTATCTCGAGCTACATATTGATTTTGTTTCGTCACTCGCGCATTTGTCGCTCGCTCCGCAGTTAATACAGCCGCGCCCCTTTCACAACGCGCATATACACATCGTTCACACATCTGTACACAATTGACGCTGATGCCATATTTAACACGGACTTTGTTCGAGCGATGGTTGCGACGCGACAATAATTGCATTGATTACTCTTTTTTTTTCTCGAGTTGAGTCGACCGACTTTCAACCTCGCGGTTGGCGTAATTTTTATATAATTCTTTGTTTTTTGCCGCGCGATTTAATTTTTTTGGAATCTGGATCCAACGCGTTGCTGGAGATTTTTCCACTCGAGAGCGAGAAAATAAACCTGTTTTCGCGTGACGGACGACTTTGACTTCGATGTTTGTGGTAATTGCTGGAATTAGCAGTATACGAGCATTAATGCACGAAAATCCATCGCATTTTGAGTATGTGTAATGCGATCGATATGAGATTTTCGAAAAAGACAACATTTTGCATACTCTCGACGGTATATAATCCTTTTATGACTACTCACTTTTTTGTTTCGTATCGGTCTTAGTCGCGGCGCTGAAAGAGGAAGGTGTTTTACGCAACCGATCGTTTTTCATAATCGCGAGGCTTGTAAACCTATACTCAAATTCGGCCTTGACTTTGACTCTTTTTTTTTTTAAGCCATATCTTCGACGTCGCTTCCTATAAATACGTGAGATTTCGAGGGCATTTCGATGTTGATTTCTAGATCGATTAAATCGACGCATCTTCCTCAATGGATCGAATGCATTGGAACAGACTACCGGTGTCGAGTTTTTGACGAAGCTCGTGCGAACAGACACATTTCGCCAACTCGCTAGACGTTTTCCGGTGCCCTACCTATCCGCTCGGTCGATCAGTCTTTTCGATAAAATTGAAGCGAATCTTTGGAACAAAGACTCGGAATCGCTCGCTACTCGGCGAGCTATGTGTGTGCTTCATTGTATATAAAAAAAAAAACGTCGACGTGATGAAATCTCACAGGGAAAAAAATGCGTACTCGGGCGGGCGCTTGGTACTATCGAATTTCCAGAAATCATAGAATTTTGCAGCTGCTTATGTTAATCGATTGCGATGTTCGAATATTTCGATTCTTTTTTTTTCCTTCTTCTTCTTCTTATTCTTTTTTAAATACATGCATATGATGTAAAAATTGACGCAGTTCCATAAAGCAGTGGCAACGGCCGTTCGCATAAATATTGCGTAAGCCGAGAGTCGAAGCACTCCAAGGTTTGCTCCAAAATTCGTGAGATATTCTCATTTATCAAATTGCCGAGTCTCAAAAGAGAGAAGCGCGCCAATGAGAAAAAAAGAGAATAATCGATCTCGAGTATTTATTTATTTATGTTTATTTTATTTTTATTTTACGTTTTTTTGTTTCTTAATTTTTATTTATATACGAATATAATATGTATATCGGATTACTGCGCGGCGTTTACCCAACGCGTGGAAAAACACACATATCGAGTGCGTGCGCGCGTCGATAGATTTCAGGTAAATTACATTAATATATCGTACAATCGATGATAATAGACGATTAATAAAGTGCGAGATCGTTATCCATTATTGCTATGTGTGTGTGTGTGTTTTTTTTTGTCGCGTTATCGATGGTGCGCTTGCAAAATATTTGAATTGCAAGTGTGCGATTATATATACATTGGGTACGAAATATCAGATGAAAAATTGACCAATACCAGGCCTCGTGACTGCTATTATGGATTTCCGCGCGATCGCATCGCGCAAACGAGGAAAGAAGAATCATGTGCAGTGTGGCTCGTATATAAATCGAAGTAGAGCGCGTGGTTTTACACTTTTGTAATGAAGTTGTTGCTTTTTTTCCCCCCTCGATTCGATATATTGCTTCGCTCGCGATCGATAAGTTCGAAGACTCGTGTGCGTTTATCGCGCAGCGATTTCGTTACGTTGCGCTTCACTCCCCCGCGCGCGAGCGGTTTATAATATAGTTCATTCTTGTATGGCACATTATCATCTCCGCGAGAGGCACATGATGTATTTTTAAGCGGAAGCCTCTATATAAGACATCGCTTATCGGTAAGATTGATGGAACCTCGAGGCCGTGGATAGCGAATTGTTTTCAACATGGTCCAATAGCGTAATTCGCATAGCGCCAAAAGTCACCAATAATAATCTCACGATGACTCTCCATGCATGAGTCGTTTCAACGCTCATTTCGTATCCCATAAAGCACGATGATGCATCATCGCGTGCAGACGAGGGGTAAAGCTCGATAATGTAATGTAATATTGGCAACACGTATATCCACGCAACGAGAAGCTGAATAATTGGTGGTAACTTGGAACAAGGGATGTGACGTTTCTTTTTTCACAATGTGTCATTTATATGTATCGATCTTCAAAGCACGAGGCTTTTACGTTGTTTCGAGTTGGTTTCGATGGGTTTCGAAAATGTGCCATTATCCACCGTTTACATAAGCAGGCCTTTGTGGGTCTTTGTAATGACATCTGTCGAGAGACGTGTAGTGTATATAGCCGCGAGCTACCTGTGTTAGAGCGCTCCTACAAATCCGGCAAATGACTTACTTTTCTTTCTATACATTAGCCGTAATCAAGCGAAAAAAAATCGCCCACCTATTTTTTTTTATGACTAATCGAAATCTTAGAAAAGCCTCCCCATGAGTAAATACACAAAAAAAGCCTCGATATGCGTATACGCAACGGTCGACAGCAGGAGGGTGAAAGCCGAGTACGGCGCGCACATTATATATACCGTCGTAACAGTACAACATAGCATTTGTCGAGTCCTCGCGGTGTGCGCACGAGGACATTGTTATAAGGTTGTGTACAATGGATGTTAAAACGCAGCGGGACGAGAGAAAGAGGGCAAAAAAAATGAAAGAAACGACACACGCACTTTCGCGCTAAAACGGAAGCCCGTCACTTTAATGTACCGCGCGCGCGGACGAGTGTATCTGTCGTTTCCGTTTTTTCGTCGACGCGCTACCGTTTGTACACAACGTCGCGAGTCCCGTTTCGTCGGTCAAACTTGCACAATTGTATACGTAACGCATATCGTATCAAGTACGATTATTTTACGCGGGTGATCTACTTTCTCCGGCGCCGGGGAAGGGCGGTTGAAATAAGAGCAGCGGGAGGTAAGCTCACGGATCGCGATTAATCAATTAACGTTTGCGGCAAGCGGCAATTGAAAAATCGGATATATGCCGGAGACTGCCACCGTAAGCGTTGATTGTATTAGTCGCATCTGCCAATTATGCGCGCTGCACATTTCAATGGTATAAAATACCGCGCGGAGTTTCGCAGCTTTTGCCCTCCGCGACCGAGAGAAGACATCGTCGCGATTGACCAACTCTTGCGCTCATTATCGTACATGTGTATACGCGTGCATAGTTTGCGTAACGCACGTGTTGTACTGCAAAATTTACCGTATTATAATGAGCTGCAACCGCGCGACAGATGTGCCCCGCGTTCGCCGCTTGGCTTTCTCGGCCCTCGTTATTATTGACATTATGTATACTTACACGATATCATAACTTTTGTCAATCGGTTTTCTATTTATCGATATTTAACGTCGATATTACCATTGGGGGCGGTCCACTGCCGCATGTATATTTAAAGATCGTTTGAAAGGCAAATAATACGAAATCAATAAGAAAATGGGCGTAAACAGTGCAGCGAATCTCGCGCAATAATGTAAAAGAATCTCCCTCGGATGCTCGGATGCTTTTCTTGTCGTTATTATTGAAAAGTCGGTCATTCGAGGGCGATCGACTTGCTATCCTATGCGGCTTTGAAAAAAAAACTTCCGTAGGCGTGAAGAAAAGAGCCTCCATGCCGAGCGCGGTGCGTTTTGCGCTTCGGTTACGATGTGTATACACATCTTCATTGATGTCTTAGTAAAATGGCCCGGAAACGAGATCGCAACGAGGGAAAAGTGAGACTCTGTGCGTCGATTTTCGACGTCCTAGGTGGTGAACGAGGGTGTCCAAAGACGACAACGACGACAATCTGATCTATTAGGCCTTTTAAAACGAGCCGTATCCGGAAAAGAATCGAAATATATTTGTTTTATGTACGAGTATATTTTATGTACGGGTATATTCAGCAATACAAAAAGAACAAGAAGACATTTCGAGGAAAAAGAATTGCGAAATATATCTCCGTGCTAATAAAATGATCAATTGTCTCGAGAAGCTGCGCAGCGTATGTAAATGTATATAGCATTTATATCGAAAAGCGTTGCGAAACGAACTGCTTCGACAATTATTGCGAAATTGAAATATCGTAAAATAAAAGGTAACGAAGGGCGGCCCCCAAATGGCGAATAATTAATGTCGCGGACACGAAGCCCTGCGTATATCACCGTAGGAATCAACCTTGACCCCAAGGCGATACAATATTCGAGATATCGAAAGTCGTCGTCGACAACAAAAAAAATGTAGGTCGCGGACGGCAACGTCACACGACCCGTCGTACTTGTAACGATATCGAACTTCAATTTTTGCTCCATCGCGCGCGCTCGCATTCATATAAATCTCGATCGTCGTGTTTTGACGTAATTATATCGCGATAATCATAATAAAGTCGATTTGAAAAGGGGGAGCTGTATGGTTGAGAGTATCGTTACCAGGAGGCAGCACCGAACACGCGTCAACGCGGAGCAGCTGCGCGAGACGGAGAGAGAGATACGCCGAAGCACGTGGCTTTAGAGTTGTTTTACTTTTTTGTCATAAATGACAACTAGTAATGTCTCGTATAGACTCAACTTTGACGTACAAAAAAGACTAATTTGACACGTAAGCTTTTTGCGATTTTAATGGAACTCAGAACTTCAAAAATTATCGATTGAACAAATGAAATTTGTGCAATATAGTTTACGGTTTTAGATTCGATTAAAGATCAATATTACAGTAAAAGTGTCTATTTTTGACATTTCTGATCATGAGCGACGACAAACTGCATCCCAGCGCAGGTGAGCCGGGCGCCAGCCGTTACGGTAATTTCTGTAACTACTATCAATTTCATCCGGCCGAAGTGAGAGTGAAGCAGCTTCCCCTGGACTTGTTTAGCTCGACCGAAAATGACGGGAAAAAGTTCGTTGCTTTGGACATAGGATGCAATGCTGGGGTAAGTATTTATCTTTTGTCATAATTGTTAAAGAAGATAAACTAATTTTGTCGTTTAATTTTTTTAGAATTTAACGGTGGAGCTCTACAAATGTTTGAGCGAAAAGCTTCCCGATAAAGAAATAGCGATACTGGGCATCGACCTCGATCCGACGTTAATCGAACGTGCACGCGAGCTAAACACACGACCGGAATCCATATCCTTCGAATGCCTCGACTTCTTTTCCGACGAGCGTGAAAACGTCTTGGCGTCATTTCTCCGACGGCATGGAGTCGTAAGTTGATTTATAACACGTAAAAATATTCAATTAAATTTCAGATTTTTTAATCTAAATGAAAACTCTAAATTAAAGGACGAATTCGACGCGACCTTTTGCTTCTCCGTGACGATGTGGATCCACCTGAATCACGGCGACGCCGGTCTCGAGCGATTTCTCCGCGACGTGGCGCGCCGCAGCCGCACGATCCTGATCGAGCCGCAGCCCTGGAAGTGCTATCGCAACGCCGCGCGACGACTGAAACGAGCCCAGGCCGGCGATTTTCCGCTGCTCCAAGGGCTCAAATTGAGGGGCGACATGGTCGAGCACGTCGAGCGAATATTGACGCTCGAGTGCGCGTGCGAGCGACTTCACGTCAGCGAGGAGAACGACTGGCAAAGAAAGCTGCTGCTTTACAAGAGGAGCCGATGACGATAAAGGATGCTGCAAATTGTAAATTAATTAAGAGTATGGCTAGCACTAAGCACGACTGCACTATGTTACATAAAAATTAAGCTAGCTAACATCATTTATAATGCTGATGAAAATTAAAGACTTAAAAGAACAAAAAATTATTGAAATTAATTTAATAAATGTAGAATTAATCCTATCCCTCAGTTTTTTTTTTGTCAAAAAAAAAAAAAAAAACAAGATAGAGCACGTTTTATATTATTATTTGGCAGATGTATATGGAGTCAACCGCGACGAGTGAGAAATAAATGTCACCTGTTTAAAAATTATGTATTGCTTTTCAAATGAACTCGACTTTGTGGAATTTTAAATTATGTTTTCCATGCTTATTGATAGTTTCTAGTGCTTTCAATTTTATAGTAATTTTTAATTAACTCTTATGAAATACCTTGTGCGACTCCAATTCGGTATCTTTTTAATACGACTTTTAAACGCGATTTCAATTATTCGCGGTTCGACAGGGATGACCCTCAATTACTTCAAGTGTCTTTTTCCAAGAGGCGATCTATCTTGTATTTACTAAATTCAAATTTGTGGTTGTTCTGGATTGAAATTTACATTGTAAACATTGTAAATAGCCTTATGTTATGATGATGTATGATGCTGTGAAACCTAAGCGAGTTAGTGTAACCGTCGATTTGGACCTAGTGCGATCAGTGGCGGCACAGTTGCTCGAGCGACGAGAATCACTCTCGTTTCCTGTACCCAGACAGCGTTTGTAGTTTTTTTTTTGTTTACAATGGATCTCGAAGGGCAGCGCAAAAAAGTGATAGCACTTGGACTAAAAATTGACATACTGAATGAACTACGAGATCACGGTGGAACGCCAACTTCAATCGGAAGAAAATATGGTCTCGGCGAATCGACTATCCGCAACTTTCGCCTCAACGAAGAGAGCCTCCGAGCAAAGTATGCACAGACATGTCCAAAAAGTACTCCACTAGATGGTGCCATAAAAGAAGAAGAAGAATGTCCAAAAAGTCCAAAGCATCTAGTACGTAACGTTAAAATAAACAATACAATAATTCCAGTACAGGCAGGTTTTAATGATTATGATTGTGATGAATCTTGAACGCGTAACCCCCTTGATCCCCATAAAGACTGGGTATTTTTTTACGCTGTATTTTTGTTGCTCATAAACTATCGCGTACACAATGAAGAAACTCCATCCTTTTTACACCACAAGCACGAGATTTAGCTGACACTTAATGTTTAGTTTGCGTCTTATTTGTTCTCTAGAACTCTGCCTTAAATTAAGGTGATTTACTATAAGAAAATGTCATATTGACATGTGCTCACTGCTCATGTGCCATATCATTTCTGAAAGAAACAACCATATACATAACCCCGCCAAAACATTCATATGCCGGCAACGCTTGTCGCAGACCCAACGCTCTTGTCTATGCTGTTTCAGTGTTTAATTCAATTATTAGATTTTGACAATTTTAAGTGAACATAAGTGAGCAATATTCATTGACATGGAGAACAGTGGACAAAAGGTTCGTGTAATGTTGTTCAATTGTATAGTTTTATTTCAAACCTTCGCATATTTGATTGAAATGCATTTCCAATAGTTTGAGAGGTTAGATGCATTATTTGAAAGTGTTGTTTATTTTCAATATACTCATAGTTCTGAGATGTTTCTAACAAATAATTACAATAGTTCTAATTTTTCCGAAATTTCGTTTGTTTATGTAACTAGAGAGTAATTCAATTTTTTTCACAATTATACTTGACATAATAATATCTTATAGGTTGGTAAAATTTTTACCGCTGCTGGTGCAGCTTTCAACAAATTAGGTGAAATGACGATGGAGTTGCATCAGACATCAGACTCTCCTTCAGGGTAAATATATCTACTATTTCTATTAATAATCATCCTCACTAAAGGTCTATTAGTTTTAACTCACAATTGGGTTTGATTTTCACAGTAAATGGACAGATGAAGAAATTGAGATGCTTCGTCGTTCTGTTGAAACTTTTAGCGAGGATTTAAACAAAATCAGTGATCACATCAAAAGAAGAACTGTGTAAGTTCTAAATAAATATATAATAGCTTAATCTCAATTTCTTCGTCAAAAGTTGTATCTACTTTTAACTATTTTTATGTTACAGGTCTCAAATTCGAACGACGTTAAAGAAAAAAGCATTTGAAGAAGCTGGAATACCTGTAAGACAACAACAGGTTGTGAATCAACATGCCCAAACACCTCAGCAACAGACAAACGTTCAACAAATTCAGACTCCCAAACAAGCGTCAAATAATCAAAGTGTGATGGTAAAGTCAACTGAAGTTACATTGAACATGCTGAATGCTCCTGCCAATGAAGTGGATGTTGAAGGGTTACAAGATGGGTGCCAAGTTAAATTGGAATTCGATGGAACTACTGAAGAAGTAACATCGTAACGGTTGAATTATTTCTTCCTATTAACTGATTTAGTATTCATAATTATAATTATAATGCATATTATAATTTACATGAAATTCAGGAAAATATTTTTTATATATAAAGGTATACATACATTTGTGACAGCAATCATGTATGTGCATTGCTTGAAAAAGTTCTGAGATCAATGTAATATTTTTTAGATTTAAATCTATATTCATAACAATTGTAATTATTCAGTAAGTTTTTACATAAGTTTAACTTTAAGAAAAAAAATTTTATTTCAATTGTGTAAACAGTAACAAGTACTGGCTCTAAGTCCATTATTTTAATTATATGAAAAAAACTAATGACAAATCTGAAAATAAAACTGGATTAAAAATTTTTCCATTAACTAATTGCTGCATTTATTTTTTATAAAGTTTTAATTTAAATAATTGTCGTGGTTATTTACATTCATTGAGTGCTACTTATAAATAATGAATATTTAGCAATAACTTTTTCGATTATAAACTAATACTTTAGCGTGAGCATACATTTTCGTACCCAAATTAGCGATGTTACCGCCACCTAGTTACTGCTACAATAACTTATTCTGACACGTCTCTTTCGATATTTTTTTCCCACAGTGAAAAATTACTTTTCTATCTCTGTCGTGTGTTATAGTGTCTCTTGTGAATTGAATTTTTTCGAAAATATTCACTCGTTTTAATAGACAAGCATCTATCATCGAATTGCGTGATCATTTTATTTTATCTCGTCAATAAAAAGAGCGAATGTGTAATATTTTTTAAACTCTATTAAGTTTATAATTTTAACGAGATGTTTTAAACACTTGAGTACTTAAATATGTTCCATTTTATTTAAATCATTCACTAGAGGTGTCAAATGTCACTCAATCTTTACAGCATTATTAGTAAAAAGAGTTAGATAAGAAAAATTTATAGAAAATGTCGTCTTCCATAATTACTTACTCTGTAGCATACTCTTTGATTTCGTTTTGTATTGTTTATCCTCCTACTGAATGTGAAGAGGCTGGATTAACGATAAAGACGCTCCTTTCTGGAGCTTTGGGTAGCGAAAGTAATGAATTTATTCAATATCACATTAGAAGAAGTTGTATTACTTTGTTGATACATTCAATGTTGCCTTTACGTAAGTTTAAATGGATAAAAATTTTATTTTGATCATTTATTAAATTTTTTTTTATGTACGATTTTTCAATATTACCAGTGTTTTAATATTATTAGTTATTTTTTAATGTTATACAATTTTTATTTTATTTACAGTATATTTTGTGGGACTATTTTTGATACCATCTGATGATTTCAATGAATATTTTTCAATCTCTGAGAATTTTTGGACGCTAATTTTATTCACATGTTCATTAATTTACACAATATCGATATTGGTTAAAATTTCAAATTGGTACAACAGTAAATGGAAAACTCATCCAATTGTGAAAAATCTTTTAGTATACTGTAATGATAGCTCAACTTTTTCATCTATTGCAAATGATATAAATGCTGAGTATAGAAGGTAATGTATTGTTGAAACATAAGATCATATGTATATCTAAAAAATCTAAAAAAACTAATGATTATTACAGAATTGACAAGTACACAATTGAAACAAATAAGATAACGAAAGTAGTCGTTACAGAAAATTGGATCATAAAAATATCTCCTTATAATTTACATTTTGCTCATCAAAGTGATACATCGCTTGTTGTCAATAAAACTGATACACATGCCCCATCAGCAAGCGCTAAAGGAGAAGTTCAATTTGTTAATATAGAAGTGAGTCTATCTTTAGATTTTATTGATTTTTGCGTACATAGCTTTTTTTAATACTGAAATTAAACGAAAACAACCATTTTTTTTCAGGTAACTCCAGCCCGGCCCAATGCCACAAAATTCGACATTAGATTAAACTCTGCAGATTTCAAAGATTTGCAAGATAGAATTATTAGACCAATTACTGTTCTTGATAATATAGTATTTCACAAAACAATATTAGAAAAGTTTATTGACACTTTCAAAGAAGAGATTGCCAAGAATCCTAAAGTTTTTATTAGTCAAGTAAGGATGTTTTTTTTATTATTTTTACTCTGTGGTTTTCATAAATCTTACAAATATATTAAAATTTTTAGGAACTAGAACACTGTGTGATGTGTATGCAAGCACTTTCAAATGTGAAACTCAACAAGCTTTGTATAACACAAGACCAAACTCCTGATTCTAATTGTATTGCCTGCTACTGTCGACCAATGTATTGTGCTGAGTGCATAGCAAAGTGGTATGCTAAATTATTTACTTTAAATAAAAATATACATAAGGCAGTGTATTAGGACATTTTAAATGTTTCAATTGTTTTAAATGTCTGCCTTAATTGACAACTATTTTACATAATTTTGCTTTTACTTCAGCTTTATATATCTTACAAATATTTATAAAGTAATTGTTTGCACTTATATTTCTAGGTTTGCATCTAGACAGGATCAAAACGCACCTGAAACTTGGCTATCTTCAAAGTGTACTTGTCCAATTTGTAGAGCTAAGTTTTGTTTATTAGATGTATGTTACGTTGAAAAAACAAATAACTCATAATAGTTTTAAAAAATAAATTTTGATTAGTTTCTAAGAAACTAGTTTAATTGATCTTATTGATCTAATATGTATTGTAAATATTTTTAAAAGATGTATATTTTAATATGTTTATACTAGTCGAAAAAATGCTTGTATTAATCTTCAAAATCCTGAATTAAAATACAACTATTTTCGTGTAAAATGAGCTTATTTGTTATTTATAAATTTCAAAAAAGTTATCTTTTCAATACAATTCAACCATGACGCTTTTCAATGAATTTTAGTATCATGCTACAGCTGTAAAGATAAATGAGCAATTAAGTCATTTTATCTGTACATAATTGTATACTTCTATGTATTAATATTACTGCTTTCATGATTTATGGAATTTGGTTTTTACTTTCAATCATTAAAAATGAATTGATCAATGATATTAGCTTGATCATAGTTCTATTAGCAGATTTTATTTAATTCTTCCTTCAAGAAAAGGGACTTATTTGATTGTTTTAAAATTAACAAGTTATAGCACATAGTGAACTTTTGCTAAATCAAGTTATTTTTCACATCAATTATATCATTTCATTATTAAATACTGCGTATTATAATGTTAATATGTTACAACCTTAACTATTTTTATATCAATTAAAAATTAATTGAGATAACTTCTGAACTTAAGGAAGCTTTAGCATATTTCACACAATATTTTGATTTTTAAACTTTAACTCGATTAACGATCAATATACTGCTTATCTAATGATAAAAGAGCATTTATTTGGGAATGTAACGACTTTCGAAATTTCAACAAATGATTGCATCATCAAATCAAACATATAAATCGATCGATTTTCCGTCATCATTCAGAAAATTTTTAAAAACAAAAAATTCCTTTTTTTTGCTGCTGCGATCATTGTCTATCCCAATAAAATTTAGAAGAGACACAATTATTAATCGACCAAAGCGATCTCTATAGGCTCAAAATATAATGAGCATAATTCAATATCCCCTTACTCTACTTATTATTACTTTTCTTCCAAACCTCGAGCACGACGATCTAATTCGCTTTCAAAGTGAGAAAAAGAATCATTGCGTCATGAGTCGAGGCGCTATGTTCATGGACATGAGCTCTTGGAACAAAAGCTTGGCGGCGTAGGGCAATCTGACTTGGGATATTTGCGTCTTATTTCTACAACCCTTGCACTCGAAGGTATTATTTCTGAGATTGGCTATGGCGATGAGTCCGCAGTAATTGCACACGTGTATTCTGTAAGGGTCCGAGACCTCGAAGAGTCGTTCTCGCAAAAATTGCGCCGCACCGTGGCTGATCTGACAGTCGCGCTCCATCTCTCCGAAACGCAGGCCTCCGTCCCTTTAATTAATCAAAGTAGAGCAATTATAAATCCGCTAAATTATTTTTTTTTTCATCGCAATACCTACCTCGCTCTGCCCTCGAGAGGCTGCCTGACGAGAATCTGTACGGGTCCTCTGGCTCTGCTGTGTATCTTGTCGTCGACCATGTGCTTGAGCCTCTGATAGTAGGTCGGGCCCAGGAACACCTGGGCGTTGATCTTGCGGCCGGTGTGGCCGTTGTACATGACCTCGTTGCCGCGCAGCTGGTAGCCGTACTCCATGAGCAGGCTCGAGATCTTCTGGACGTTGACGGCGTCGTTGAAGGGCGTGGCGTCGCCGATCTCGCCCTTGTTGGCCGACACCTTGCCCTGGATGCACTCGATCAGATGGCCGATCGTCATGCGCGACGGTATGGCGTGCGGATTGATGATCACGTCCGGAGTTATGCCCTCGCTCGTGAACGGCATGTCCTCCTGGCGGTAGAGTATTCCGCATGTTCCTATAGGCACAGATATTATGAGCGTCAAATATACCGCACGATGTATTTTTTACTACTTTACCTTTTTGACCGTGTCGAGAGGCGAACTTGTCGCCGATTTGGGGGATTCGGACGCTGCGCACGCGAATCTTGCAAAATTTATATCCGTCGTTGTCGAGGGTCAGCATGACTTGGTCGACTATGCCGGTTTCGCTGTTGCGCAGAAAAGTCGAGGCGTCTCTCTTGGTGTAGCGCTTCATCGAGCTTTCCAACTGCAAATTATCTCAAATTTATTTTACCGCATAGAGAAAGACGAGAAAAGTCAGCTAATTATACCTCGTCGTCGTCCGAGGCCAACATCATGGTCTTGCCGATGATGACGTCGTCCCCGGAGACCCTCAATCCGGGCGATATGATGCCGTCGTCGTCGAGCTTGTCGTAAATGGCGTTCCTCATGCCCTGACAGCTCTGCCGATCCGGCCTCTCGAACTGCTCCTCCTGATCGGCCATTCGCTTCGCCTCCGAGTCCTTGTACGAGCGATAGAAGACGGAGCGGAAGAAGCCGCGCTCGACCGCGCTCGCGTTCAGAATGATGCTGTCCTCCTGATTGTAGCCCGTGTAGCAGAGGATCGCGACGATGCTGTTGATGCCGGCGGGCAGCTCGCGAAATCGAAGGTACTCCATGGACCTCGTGGTCACGAGGGGCTTGTGAGGGTAGTAGAGAACGTGGGCCAGGGTGTCCATGCGCACGTGGAAATTCGTTATGTACACGCCCATCGCCTGTTTGCCCATGGCGCTCTGCGATCCGATTTTTTAATTTTTCAAGTTCAACGGAGCAGAGTTGAGATGGAAATTTATAACAACAATGATACCTGATAGGTATTGCGAGGACTCTGATTGTGATCGGGGAAAGGAATGATGGAGGCGCAGACGCCCAGAATCATGGCCGGATGGATCTCGCAGTGCGTGTGGCTCGTGCAGTAGGCGTACGATCTCTCCTGTCTCAGGTCCTCCGGCGACATGGCGATCATCGCCGTCTCCTCCTCGAGGCAGTCGATATACTCGACGACGCCGCTGCTCACCAGTTCCTGCCACCTGTGTACAAAAAAAAATTATTCATATTTACAGTCGAGTCGATCGGCTTATAGGTCGCACACTTACCCATCGCATCTGTACTCGAATTTCTTCAGCATGTTTATGTGGTACTTTTTAAGTAGCAATTTCTGATTTTCTACGATTAACAGAGGCCGACTGATTCTTCCAGCGTCCGTGTGAATTCTGATCTCTCGATCTCTGATGTCCCGAGTTATCGATACTTCCGATACGATCACGTCCATTTGCCTTCTGAGCTTTCTATATAAACGAGTACGAAAAAGTTTTACGCCAGTGGAAAACGTCACAATTGTATACCGAGATCCGTACCTGAGAGTCGTCATGAGCTGCTCGGGATCGCGATGTATGCCCACCCAGCAGCCGTTGACGAAGATCTTGCTGGCCTCGGCGATGACGCTCGGCGCTATCTCCTCGAGATTCTCCATGGACCACTCCTCGAGAAACTCGAGAATAGGCAGGGGCTGCGAGCCGACGCTTATGTAGGCCATGAGGGCGAGATTCTTGACGAGGCCGACGGCCTGGCCCTCGGGCGTCTCCGCCGGGCACAGCATGCCCCACAGGGTGTTGTGCAGCTGTCGCGGCCGCGCCAGTTTGCCGTCCCGGCCGATCGGCGAATTGACTCGCCTCAAGTGCGACAGGGTCGAGGTGAACGTCAATCTGCAACGGTGTGTACGGTTTCGTATTTTTTGCTCGTGATTTTTTCTTCAGCGAGACCAAACCATTTAAATTATTCAGATTTGATGTAAAATCGAACGTAGTAATAAAAATGACGATACTCAATTTTTGTTCCAAGTTATACTGAATTAATGCACGAGTGCTGATTCATTGTTTTTTTTTTTTATAAAGTGTACAAAGAATGCATAAAAATCTAAGCCTTACATTTATTTAAAAAATGAACGAAAATTATTTATAATTCTATTCTCAAATTTAAATGTTTTGGATGAAAATTAATGTTTTAATAGATGTTTCTTTTTTTCGTTGGTTGTAAAAAAAAAAGATATGAAAATTCACTCATAATTAAAGCCAGCCTCCGCCACTAGATGGCGAGTATCTCTGTATCTATGAATCTGCTAGTGGCAAAGTCAGAGTAGTTCTATATAAGTAATCAAACATAATGTACTTTAATATGATAATTTTCTGGTCGCTACGTGAGGATTTTGCAACAAACCTATTTAAAACTTGAGAAACTCCAGCTCTGGCCAGATGAGCTTTCTTTTGATCGCCCCAGTTGCCGGTGGCCAAAGAGTACCTCAGGCCGTCGGTGATCGTTTTGGTCTTGATCGCCAGCTCCAAATTGAAGTCCTTGCCCCTGTCGACGAACTTTTTCGCGTACATCTTCACCTCCTTCGTGAGGGTTTTGAACAGTCCGCGAAATAGAAAGGCCAGCAGAGGCCCGGCCAAGTCCAGTCGCTTGTTTCCGTAGTGGTCTCGATCGTCTGGCAGGCAGAATCGATATCGTAACACCGAGTCGATGTAATAAATCGATTAGGGGTGATATGGTACCTAATTCGCGGCGACCGAGCGCCGCGACGAGCAGCCTGTGCACCATGTAGCCGAGAAAGTAGGCCTTCTTGGTCTCGCAGTAGTCGCTGCAGCCGACGTGCGGCAGTGTCTCCTTCTGCAGTATCTCCTTGGCGTACTTGATCCTCTTGGTCTTGGGCACGCCCGGCTTGGTGCCCCTCGTCCCGATGAAATTAAGCGCCACGTCCTGCTCCTGAATGACGAAGGCCTCGTCGAGCGAGGCTTTCAGCATCTCCGTCATCTCGAGATCGTCGAACTCGTAGATGATGTGCTCGAGTATGTCGCGATCCGCGACGAAGCCCAGCGCGCGGAACGCGATCATGATGGGTATCTCCTCGCGGATGTAGGGTAGGATCGCGACGATGCGCTGACCGACGACCGATTTCTTCATCGACTGTCGATTGCGCGTCGTGTCGCATGACAAATGTTATCATTTATTGCGCGTTATAATGTAAGGCCCATTGTTTGACTTCGTTATTCGACTTACCGAGCTGCTCTTGGACATCATATTGATCCATAAAGTCGATACCGGACGCGAGCTGTGCTCCAAGCACGATCGTATTTCAGTCTTGTAGGCGTACTTGCCGCTTCGGATTCCGAACACGAATACCGTGTTGGTTGCCATTTTCTCTTGCGCTATCAGCACCTATATCGATTAATTCTTATATTTTATAACGTTGATTCAATGAAACAGCGATGGAAATTGAAAAAGAAAAACCTTTTCCGATCCATTGATAATGAAGTAACCGCCGGGATCGAGGGGGCACTCGTTGAGCTCGGTGAGATCGCGGTCCGATAGACCGGCGAGAAAGCAATATTTGGAGCGCAGCATTATTGGAATCTTGCCAATGACCGTCTTCTGATGCTGCGTTTCGGCTAGAACTGTATTTTGTTTACGTTTCAATGGAGTGTTGTCAAAAATGCCACTCGTGCGACGCGTTAGTAGAAACAAATAAAAGAAATCGTCGAAACCCATACCGGCGGTTCCTTCGTCGGGCTCCTTCTTCACGACGCTCTTGGTGACGTCGACGTAGAGCGGCGCGGCGTAGGTCAGATTCCGCAGTCTCGCCTCGTTGGGCATCATCGGCGCCGGGGCCCCGTCCTTCTCCCAGTGCGTCGGCTTCGACAGGTAGATCTGCTCGAACTTGACCAGGTGCTTGCAGCCGGCCGCGTCCAGCTGGCCGTCCAGGTACTGCGTCTCGGCCTCGATCTCGATGGCCGGCGACTCCTCGACGATCCTCTGCACGGACATCTCGATGAACTCGTCGAAGCTGTCGAGCTGCTGGCGCACCAGGCCCTTCTCGTCGAAGTAGGCGTTGATCACGATCCAGCAGGCCTCCTGCCAGACCCGCGACGATATCTCCTCGTCGGCGCCTTCGATCTCGCCGTCTGATTATACGGATCGATTAGCGATTTTTTCGTATATAAACATTTCGTATTTTTTGTCTGTGCATAGAGTGTGCTGATTAGGTATATATATATTCGACCGGTGCATCTGGGCCAAGTGAGAAGTCATGCAAGTATAATATGAAACTTGGCACACATTTGGCTTAGATATTTAAAGAATGAGTAGCTTTTTCACGCTATATGCTACGATAAATTTTTTTTTCTAAACTTACCCTCGTCTGCGTACATGATTGACCAGTGATTATATAGATGACTATTTATTTACAATGCGAGTAAACCAATTAATTGGCTAATTATTCTAAATTTTTTTTCTGTGTCAATTTTTTGTACCGCGAAATTTGTTGCGTACAGCACAATAGCAAACTAAATGAAAAATACAGCATGGGGAGATTTTTGTACTCGGTCGAGCAGTTGCACTTGAAACTTGCACTCGCGGAGCGCAATAAGAATGCGATCGAGCACTCGCGCGTTTTGTACAACTTCTTCGGACTATACTGACTGCACTACATAGGATATAAACATTTTCAAACGCCAACAACTTGGCAGGTGTAGTCGAGGCGGGAATAAATTCGAACGAACTAGTCGAAATATTAGTTTAAACGATCAGATTTCAATGAGAAAAAATATTCGGAATGCAGTTACAGATATTCGGTATCAAAAATAAGTCTACAAAAAAAGACGCACGATTTGAGATCGATATTATTGTCAATTACATTTCAAATTAATTAAATAATCGATAAATAAAAAGGAATTAATATGGTCAAATGAAATTCATAAATAGATATAATTCATTTCTAATAAAGTTAAAATTGTGTCTGTACGTTTTTACTTTACGGCAAATTGCTATCACCTACGGTCGATAATCTTTCACGATGATGAGCATAAAAAGTCCATTTACATGAGTGACTTTTCAGTAATCGTCGTACAATCATAGACATTTATATGTGAATTTCGAAAAAGGTATGTATCTGAACAATCTTTTTCATTGATAAAAAAACAATGGCGAGACATTGAATTGAATTAATTTCATCCTTCTGTAAACAAGTTACAATAATTGAAAAAATATTTAGATAGTTTTCCAATAATTTTACCGATTTTTCTCATTACCATGGAAAATAGATTCAAAAAACATTATCTACTATACTACTATTTAAAAATATTCGGATTGTGCCCATTTTCTTTAACCGCGGAAGGAAGGCCTCATTTTTCACTTTTTGGATTATTTATTAATTGTTCATTGGCTTTCATATTTGTATCGATTTACGTTATTGCTTATTCCGAAAGATTTTTATTAGTTTTGCCAAAAGAAACAATAGTCGGAGTAGTTGTTGATGTGATATCGACGATTTTTCGAGTTCTAACGATTTTTTGGGCAATTTTGAAAATTGGATTCGAACAAAGATTTTTATTAGAGATTTACAGCGACTATAAAATGGTTGAGTTTTGTTTGAAAAAAGTTACAATGAACAAAAGCGCTGAATGTTTACCATCAAAGATAATATCATTAGGATTAAAATTATCGATATTTATATTTTTTTATTCATTATTTACTATATTAGATCACCTCCGATTCGCATTCGCCAGATTAGTTAAACCAGGAAAATTATGCTTGTACATACTTTTTCATATTTTTACCGGTTTGAGACTATGCGTTTTACTTGTATTTTTCGAGGAGTTACACTTTATTAAAAATTCTTTTTTGCAAATTAATCGATGGTTGTTGAATATTTCTGAAGATAATGAAAATATTGTTGGTAATATGTTTTCAATAATTTAATAATACGATTCTGAATTATGACAATTCACATTCTCAGAAATTATTAGGCTGCATGTAGATATTTGTGGACTTACAGAAAAGTCGGCAAGATTTTTCAGTTTCATAATACTGTGCGATTTGCTCGATGAATTCATACAAGTTTCTGTTTCAATTTACCGAATTAATCTTTATTTCAAATTTGAAGAGACTTGGCGAATCATCGACTTCGTTGATTTTGGTTCCATTCTCTTTTGGCTATCCGTAAAAATGGTCATTTTGTTCTTAATATGTGCTCTACCGGATGCAGTTTCTTGCGAAGCAAGTATTTGATTAAATATTTTTCTTGATAATTTACTTTGGATTTTATGCTTCGACATAAAAATACGGTGTGATTGAAAACTGGATTGGGTTTGTTCATGTTTTTTTACGATTGTTTCTAGGCTGAGAAAACATATCACATTGCTCATCGCAAATACTGCAATCAATCTGGTAGCCAAATCAAAAATAAGAAGGTAAGTGAAAAATGACATAGGTACTATAATAAAATTTATAAGTCAAAAAAACTAAGAAAAAACAATATGTTTGTTTTATTCTCCTGCAGTGTACTGAAGTGTTTGAGAATTGGTACCAGAAAAAATTATCTATTTCATTGTACGGTCTCTTTTCCTTGGATTTTAAGTGTTTCAAAAACGTAATTATTTACAACATTTTCAAATAGAGGAGTCATTTGTAATAAAACTATTGAATAAATCGATATATTATTTTATTTCAGATAATGGCTACGATAATTATTTATTTAGTTTGGATGTTTCAAATAGAGCAAATGAATTAAGCAAATGAAATTTCCCGTCAGCCTTTTTTACAACGAAAATAATTATTGAACGAATTGAATTTCATTCATTCCACAATATTTTCGCAAAAGTCTCTGAATTTAAAATAAATTAAAATAGTTTAATAAGTAATTAAAACAAATTTGGAGGCAAAAAGTTTGTCAGAAGTGGGATTCGAACCCACGCCCTCAGAGAGGACCAGAACGCCCCATATACTCGATCCGAGAATCGAGAAGATGATTAATCTTGAGTCTGGCGCCTTAGACCGCTCGGCCATCCTGACACTTGATGAGTCTAGCTCTAAATGTTTTCATAGAATATTGTACAAAAAATTTTATGAATTCAGAGAATAATAAGATGAGAAAATAGTTTTGAGGAAACTCTAATTAAAATAAAAATGATGTTGATCACTGCGAAAAAATAGTACAATATTAATCACTATAATATAAAAATATATGATAGCCCATGTTCTTCGTAAAAAAGTTAATTTTTTTTATAATTTAAAAAATAAGCATTTTTCATCGTACCTGCATTATCTTCTTTCCTCTGTAATTTAATATTATTAAATCTACCCTAAAAATCCTATGAATAATTGTAATTCATTTTACGTAACTGTTAAAATCAGTAAAAAACTACTTTTTGATTTTGCAAATTAAAATTTTTTATGTAATTTTATATATTCAATTGTAATGATTCTAGATTAAGTTTTTTGTCAACACATACATTTCTGTGCGTCAAATTAATTAAATAATTTTTAACGTGGTTCTGACGAGTTATATGCAAATAATTTTAACCTCCACCTAGAATAAGAAGTGCAACAAAAGATTTTTTTCCGAAGTCTTTATTTTTTAAACTTTTTGTTGAGACCTTGGTAGTATGAAAATGACTTATAGCAATCACAAAAATTGACAGTATCTAATTAAATTATTTTATGATTATTGATATTTTTTAACTTATCTAAATCAGAAATTTATATTAGATTTTTTTAATACGTTTTTGTATTTATGCAATCGAAATTAATCGAACCTAATTCGGGAAAACAAATTTTCGGGAAATTGGAATTAGAGAAAATAGATGAATACCTATTTTTGAAGAAAGTTAACTTTTATATCTTTGATAATATTAAACTATAAGTTTTTCATTATAGTTTTAATAGGAAAGTAAATTTAAAGTAGTTATTAGATTGCAATAAGTAATTAATCACGTAATTAAATTCCATTAGTAATGAGAAAAGAAAATACATAGAAAATTTAAAAAATGAATAAAGTGCATTGGAAAGTGATTATAAATTTATTATAAATCATTTTGCTTCTATTTTTCTTTCATATACAAATTTCAATATATATTTTAATGTTATATATCACAGTATGAATCTTGGTTCATAGTTTAACAGTCATTTTTAATTCATTTTTACTACTTATTATAGCAATAAACTAAATAATTAACTTTCATTAATTAATTTTAACAATAAATTACAACTTATATAATTATCATAATACCTCATGAGTTGATACATTGGAAGTGCAAGAAATGTTTACCATAAATCAATGCCATGCTTAGATGCAATATATAATTTAAAATAAGGGTTTACATGATACAAACTAATCTAACCATCTCCAGTAAAATGAGCTATAACATGTTCATGAAAAATGTCAAAAGGCACTGAATGTTCAAATAAATACCCACATAAAGGACAAATTTTATCATCTTTAGTAACTGGAATTTCTTTTGTTGGGACAGAACACGTGTCGTTTGAATAATCGGGTATTTCTTTTGTTTTCACATCAAAATCAGTTTCTGTTTGATCATTTAACTTATCATTGATACTTTTGCATGTGGTACAAGCATTTTTCTTTTCTGAAATTGTGGAAAAATTCTGTAGGGCTTGTTTCAATTTTTTTTGCTCATCTAATAATAATTCTTTCATATGAACAAGTTTATTATCATGATGCGTTAATTGTTCAAGTGAATATGTATTATTATCTGCAGTACAAGTAATATCAATATTTTCTTTCACTTTTTTTTGAAGATCAAGTATTTTGCTGTTCAACTGTTTCAAATCAGTTTTGTCAATCATTATGCTATCAAATAATTGCAGTGATATTTCCTCTAAGGTACAATCCTTTTCATTTTTCTCTGACAAATATGAATTATTTTTATCTGTTTTTGATGGATATGATAATTCTTTCAAATTAAGAGAAGGCATTGCTGATACATCTATTGCTGTATTATTTTTAGTTAATGTTTTCCACAGTTGTTGATTCTCAGATGAAACCATAAGCAAATGGTATAGCAATTGTGATTTTTGTTTTTTCAATTCTTCAATTTCTTGTTGTTGCTCCCGAATAACATCATGTTTATCATCTTCATTTAATTTTTTTAACATAATTTGATTATTTTGTGCATTGAGTTGACGCAGTTTACTATTTTCTTCTTCTGTATTTGCTAATTGTCTTTGAAGTTTTCTACTGCGTTCTTTCACAACTTGCAATGCAAATTTCAACTTTGTTTCTTTGAGAGTGTCAGTATTCGAGTCTGCCATTTTTCTAATTAATTCAATAAATTTGTTAATACTGGTTATAACAATAAATACCTGAAAATTCAAATATTCAGTCAAATTTTATAATTAAGATAAATAAAATAACTTGTACCTAAAGTCCAATCTCCACAGTTTGATATTTTCTTACAAAGAAACACTTTTATGTGAAATCAAGTATATGTATTGCACTTTTTGAAATATGTAAAAACTTTGAATTCCACTGCGATTTAAGTAAAATTTACTTTAAATTTGATTAGAATTTTAAAACTATTTGATTAATTTTATTTCAGAAAAAAAATCCAGTGTCCCAAATTGCTCATTTTTAGTTGATAATACCACACTTGCTTTCGTGAGTGTCAGTGGCATTATTATAGAAAAAATAATTTTAATATTTTACTTTAGATCATAGATATCGTTTTTTCATTTCACGCGTGTTTTAAAATATTGGAAAGTTTTTGGAGCAGCTGATCGTGCAAAGTAAACAATATTGGAACAGCCATGTTGTGACAGAAGTCAACACGTTTACGAGACGTTGCCACTTTTAGGGTGAACTCACATCAAAAGCGCCGTGCACCTGTCATTCAAATGATTTCATCTAGAAAATTCATGTAGTTTATTTAAAAAATACCTTTAAATAAACTCAGGTACTTTTCATCGTGCACGTTTAGAGTATCGATCGATGAACATGTATTAAAAAGAAAATTAAAAATTTTAAATTTACATCTTCTTGAATATTGTTTAGCTACGTGACTTCGCATCAGAATAATTAAAATTATTCCCCAATTTAATTGAACCGTCAACGATTTGAAGTTCACACACCAAATTGAATAGATTGAATTGTTTTGAAGCATAAGGTGTGCGTTGAAAAAATACGAACGTTTTTAATTATTCAACGCGTAATAGAATGCAATAACGATGCAAAAAAGTTTCAGTACTAAAAAATTTGATATTTCATACAAATCACTATTTCTAATGATGAGAATAATTCTGCCTATTACAATGATGATATTATATTTTTAATTAGTATTAATTAGTAGTAGTGACGGTGATGTTAACATTATTTTATTTTAAATCATATGGAAACAACAACGACTGGTTTTTTTGTTTTCCGTTGAATCTAATCCAAATTGTAAAATACATGAACTGCTCCTCGATCATCTTCCAATATGTACGAGCCTATAATACAGATTTGGGTGGAGACTGGAGACGAGAATTTTAAATGACATCAAATATTACACGTCACGATGTAAAGGCCTCGGCCATCGGGCCTTTCAAAAGTTGTACCGTCTGCGTCAATGTTATCATTTTTAAAGGAATTTAAAGCGAAACTGCTGATGTGTCATAGCGTTGCGGCTGCTCCGTTATTAAAATCGAGCCATCCGAAATTTCTACACTCCAAAAAAAAAAATCCGCTATATTATAGGCGCGCACGGAGGCGCGGGGGGCCAGCCCCAGAAACGCAAAATTAGACTCTCACGCATGAGCAAAAGTAGTGTCGGGTCGGAATACCGTCCGTGGCGTAGCCGCCGTTACAAGTTCGCACCGCCGCGCACGCAGCCAGCAGCGCCGAAAGAGAGTCGATCGTCGTTCCCCGCAGCACATTATATACACGGCATAGAGTCAGTGCAGTGTATACACGGCATCAAATTTTGTTTAGCAACCGCTACGATCACTCCCTCTCTCTCGCTCGCTCAATCTCCTCCGTCGGAGATTTCCAAGTTTCTTAGGTTGCACGGTGTACAAAGTGAGTATTTAATTATATAATTATTGCTTTATTTGCACGCACCATTGTACCCGTCTCCCTCGTGTCTCGTTCGCCCCGTGATTTTCTCCGCGATCGCGATAATTTCCACGCCCGGACATGTGAATGAAATAATAATTCGTATCTTCGCTAATGGCCATCGCAGTAGCCTCGCGCTGTAGCTCCGTTTCTTTCGCTGGCGCACTCGTGCGCCCCGCACACTACTCACTCTTGATCTACCTCGACCTTAACCTATCCACGCGATTTTGCGCTTGTGCATGCCTATTTTTACGCATCTCGTTGAGAATTTCGTACGATGGCACACCGTGTATCAGCGTTATTCTCCCCGTGCGACATTTGCAATCGAAATATGCACGCGTACTCCATTGATGATACCCGCGTACAAAACAATGCCTCTCAATACGGAGCGATCTTGAAGGACAAGACGTCCTCGTGTTCGTTTTTATAGCACGTATTCGTGGACGTGTATACGTGCAGCTTATACATGTACTCACGCACACGGCGCAAAATGCCTCACACATATGCATGTTTTCATTTATGGTTTACGTCCGTACGCAAAATACTAGTATGCCATTTTTATCAATGCAAATCTATCGAATTTGACAACACCAAGAAATTTTTATCTAATTATTTGAATTTTCAACTTGCGTTTCAGAGGGTAATTGTATGAGTCAAAAAATAGAAAAGCCAGTGTTGTCAGGTCAGCGCATAAAGACCAGAAAAAGAGGTGAGTTGGCCTTTTTTATGTATCAACGAAAAGATCGGAGAGCCACGCGCGTGATTTTTTTTCTCACGCGTAAACATACTACACAGTAATAGGCGATTACAAAAGTGTACCTATATATGTTCAACGAATTACGATTGTATCATACGTTCTATCTAACTTTCTAAAATTCATTTATTCCGTACGTTTGATTTCGATTATTATTTCACTCATTTACCTGTTTTATTGTAACGTTTACTTGTTTACGACTTTTACGCGTTGATTCATTTGTACGCGAAAAAATTGTAATACCGTTACATTTGTACATTGTTTATTTATTTTTCACGCTATTCTTAACTTGACAGATGAAAAAGAAAAGTATGATCCAACTGGATTCCGTGATGCCGTTTTATCTGGTCTTGAAAAGGCTGATAATGATTTAGATGCCATTTCAAAGTATTTAGACACTGCTGGGTCTAAATTAGACTATCGTCGTTACGGCGAAGTCCTTTTTGATATTTTGATTGCTGGTGGTCTCTTGGTCCCTGGAGGTTCCATTGCTCAAGATGGAGACAAACCAGTTAAAACAACTGCGTGTGTCTTCGCTCAATCTGAAGATATGGAGTCTATGCGCAACTTCGAACAGGTAATTTCTCCTAGCTCTGATGATGAAACAATTTTACTTAGAATCACAATTTTCAATCTACCCTGAACTGTTGAACAGGTGTTTGTTAAGCTCATGCGTCGATACAAATACTTGGAGAAGATGTTCGAGGAGGAGATGAAGAAAGTTCTTGTTTTCATGAAGGGATTTACCCCAATTGAAAGAATAAAGTTGGCTAGAATGACAGCTCTCTGGATCTCTAATGGATCTGTACCACCAACTGTCCTTTCAGTTTTAATCAATGAACATCTTGTAAAGGATAATCTTGCTTTGGATTTCCTTCTTGAAGTATTTGTAACATGGAAACAAGAGAAGGGTCTGCCAAGTTTAATGTCTGCGCTCAAGCGTGGTGGCATTGAAGGAAGGTTGATGGAGTTTGTTCCACTCAACAAAAGGACAGATGAATATTTTAGATCAGTTTTTGAGTCAGCTGATTTGGCTGATATTGTTAAATTACACAAAGCTCAAGCCAGTCAAGAAGCAAAACGAGACCTGCAGCAGCTTCTTGTTGACGATTTGGGGGATAACAAACCCATCAAGGACATTGTTAGTGATCTGAAGGAGATGGCTCAAAGATGCCACATTCCTGAACATGAAGTTATTGGATTGGTAAGTTGTTGTAAAACCATTATTTTCATTATTCCATATGTTTAGTTTCTAGAGTTATTGTTAAACCAATTTATGATTTAGATTTGGAATGTTGTCATGAGTCAAGCTGAATGGAACAAAAAAGAAGAACTCGTTGCCGAACAAGCACTAAAACATTTGAAGACTTACACTCCTTTGTTTGGTGCATTCACTACTACTGCCAAATCTGAGCTTGCTTTGATTCTTAAAGTTCAAGAATTCTGCTATGAGAACATGAACTTTATGAAAGTCTTCCAGAAAATAGTTCTACTCTTCTACAAAAGTATATATAAACACAATTTTAAATCTTACTAATTTCATACTTCTAAAAATAAAACATTATTAATGTTTTTTTTTTATTTCCAGCTGATGTAGTTTCAGAAGTAGTAATTATGAGGTGGTACAAAGACGGGCACTCAGTTAAAGGAAAAATGCTATTTTTAGACCAAATGAAGAAATTTGTCGAATGGCTCCAAAATGCTGAAGAAGAGTCTGAATCTGGAGAGGATGAGGACTAATTACTTCAAAGTATTTAAAGATTTATTGTTATGACAAACCTGAATTTTTTAATGATTTATTTTGCAATTTAATAAAATTTTACTTTTTATGTATATCTTACTTTGTTCTTTAAATTTTTCAATCAGAGTATTCACTTGAAAGTTTTACTTGAAATCAACAATTTTAAAGCTGTGCTAGTTTTTGACTCAAAATTTTGTTCAATGCATATTTAAATGTTTAAACATGTCATAAGTTACATTTATTTTTTTAGCTACTATATCAAACAACATTGCCAGGACTCAAATGACAAGTCTTCTGTCCAAAAGTACAATACAAGTTTTGGAAGAAGCTTGGAGCTCTTTGTAAAAACTTGTTTATGACTTCTTATAAAGATATGGAAATGGAATGTACAAAGTTCCGAATTGAATCAAGCATCTGATTTTTTGAAATAACAATATTTAATCATGAAAATAAAACGTATGAATATAATGGTAGTATAAAAGATGACTGTAAATTTGAAATGGCTCTGAATTGTATTATTTTAAGGAAACTATTTTGTGTTACAATTTTTATAACTCCATTATAAAATGTATACAGAATAACATATAGAACAAACTGTTACTGTGTGTGTACACATTTCAGAACCCTTACTTAATTTGTATAATAATTATATCAGTTTATAAAAATATACTGTCAGGTGATGTTTGATAATAACAGATTGTTTTTGATTTCCTGACATCCTTTCTGATATTTGATTAAATGAACATATGATGGATCTTTTTGGAAAAAATACAAAAATTTTGCAATTACTTAAAATAAATTTATTCACAGATATTTACATTTTGTACAAAAATTAATCTAACTTTGGTTTACCCTTAAATTGTCTCACTTGTGGGAAATTTTGGGTCTCAATTATTTTTTTTCCATTCATAAAGCTTACAAGAGGGTCTGGTATTCTTATGGTACCATCCTCCAATTGATTTGTCTCACAAATTGCAATTAACATACGTGGGATTGCGCATGCTGTTCCATTAAGTGTATGAGCATGTAATATAGTTTTATCCTTATTCTCATATTTTATACCAAGTCTACGAGCTTGATAATCAGTGCAGTTACTACAACTAGAAATTTCTCCAAACTGATTCCTGCCTGGCATCCACGCTTCAATATCAACTTTTCTAAAGGGTAAAAATAGGTGATTAGTTTAAGGAATAGCCTTACCCAGTCATTAATTAAATAATAGTACATGAAAGTTACCTGTAAGCAGGAGAGCCCAATTCATGAGGTGGCATATCTATTGTTTTGAAGTGTAAACCCAACTGTTTAAACAATTTTTCTTGAATTTTAATTATTTCATTTTGAATTTCAAATGAATCATTTTGAGAAGAGCATATGAACATTTCTACTTTTGTGAATTGATGAACTCTATAAAAGTAAGACCATTATTTTTCTGAAGTACAATTAAATCAATTTTTACCATCAACGACTACTATTTATAAAGTTCTTACCGATATATTCCTCTTTCTTCTGCTAATCCAGAGACTTCAGCTCTATAACATCTACTAACAGCTGCCAACTTTAAAGGTAATTCATCGAAATTTAATAATCGATTAGTAAGTTTATAAGCTAGAGCCATTTCTGCAGTACCCGAAAGACTTAAATCACCACCATAATGTGGTTGTAGTTTGTATACAAGTTTTCTTTCTCCATCACTGATCAACCCACATCTTTCAATAACTTGAGATGGTAAAATATCTGGTACAGAAACTAACTGAAAATTAAGCTTGCAAAGCTCTTGAACTGTGTAGTTAATCAGAGCTTGCTCCAATTCTGCTAAATCGCCTATAAGAATATAGCTTCTGGATCCAGTGACAGGACCTAAATTATCAGTTCTCATAAGCTTCAATTTAGAAGCTAAATTAGAAAATTCTTGAGGTTTGAAATTGAATTTAGGCGGATCGCCATGCTGATTAATAACAAAAAATTCAGTTTCATGTTGAAGAACATTAGGATCTGTTAAGTTTGGAATTTTATCAATTTCTTTCAAAAATTCTGATGACTCTGGTGTTTTACTCAACTCAAGAACTCTATCAATATTTCCATGACTATTTCTTTTAGAAATATTATTAGCTATCAAATCACGGTTTGATGGGTTACAGATAAATTGCACATCATACTCTGGTACAGGTAAGTTTACTTCTCCACTAACATTAAGGGGACTCTTTTTTTCTAGCTGAAAAATAAAAAAGTTATGTCAATCAGATTTTATCAAGTTTATTATGAAAAATGAATGATAATTACAAGTTCTTGAGAATAACATCTAGCCTGTATGAATTTTGACAGTTGTCGGCCAAACCTCTTCATGATGTAAAATTGTTCAACAGTTCATTGAGCTTCAAAACTATTCCAATATTTTCACTGTCACTATTTATTTTTATAATATATACAATAAACGGCGAATAAGCTTCAAAAAAACATGCGATACAAAATGATTGGCTCAATTGGCTCAAAAACAAGCAGACACTGAAACTAGCAGAAGATAATATTTGTCAGCCAGCATGCTGGGTTCAGTGGAAAATGTAATACTGCATAACAATAACTAAATTATGTCTCTTTATTTATGATTTGAAAAAATCATTTTTTACTCTTTATGTAAAGTAGATTATAATTAAAACAGGCCTAAGACACAATAGAATGTGTAATCACAGGATATTATAAGTGAATGGTATTTTGAAATATGCAAATTTACAATTATTTTTTTTTTTGGTAAATTTTGTAACTGAAAATTAATTGAATTGAATTTCATCAAAATTACACGAATAATTGACATGAAAAATTTACCTAAAATTTTCTTATCACTGGAAAACGTGCATTTTTAAAATTAGCGGACTTTACTACATTGACCAATGACCAATCGGATTGTTTCTTTTGGAGTTTCGCACACGGCGACGCGGCATGCCAGTGAAGCACGTTCATCCACGTTTCAAATTCCAACTTCCTAGTTCTTCTCACTTGCGAGTTCCGTAATCCAACGAATCTAAACGGTTACGTGGTACATTGTGCAGTTGTTGCAGCAAGACCAATATGTTCTGGTCTGCGAGCCAATTTTTCTTCCACATAATGTAAAATAATCATTAAGCTAACTGTACTAATCAGCACAAAATAACAAGGTAATTATTCTAATCAATTGCATTTACTTTTTATTTTTCCTTTCGCACGATCAAGCCACGAGTTACATGAAATTTTTCAAAAACTCGTGGCCACGTAGCAAAATTTTTAGAACACTTTCTTAAAGTATATATCTTTTTCAGATTAGGCATTTTTTATTAAATTTGCCAATATGGATTCAAGTTTATTGTTTAAATCGTGCGTAAAGCAGGTGGGAACTGGGACGGTGAAGGGCTTAAATAGTACAAACATATTTACAAAGCCACCGTCCAAACAAAGCATATTTGCTATTAATGCTTATAAAATTACTAAAGAAATCTCTGAGATGCACAAACTTTTGAACGATCGTCGCCAGGCATATTTGACTTTTACAAGGAATCTCAGGAGTGAACCTTTTTTAACCGAGTTAGATAAGGATACTCTGGATGCTCAGGTGGACCAAATCTTAACCACTTGTTCCAAAATGATAGCTGATTTGAAAGTGGAGATCAAAACTTCCGATTCTAATCTGCAACATAAAGAACACAGAGAAAACATGGTTTCTTTGATTGAAGATTACTTGAAGCAAGTAATGAAAATATTTACTGATCAAAAATCTTTAAGATTGCAAAAAAAATTGGATATGAGGGATTCTTTGGAATCAAGACTCATGCCATTGAGTAACAGTGAGCAGATTCCACCCACTTCAAATTCACGAGATTTAAATTCTTCTAATGACTCAGAAGTAAATGACAATCCTCAAGAATCATCTTTGAGAATTCAAGAACTTAATGGTGATACAATAGATTCAACATTTAAAGAAATACCTTTATCTGCAGAAGACATTCAAATGTTCGATGAAGAAAAAGAACAATTTTTCAATGAATTAAATTTGGTTTCTGAAGAAATTCAGCAAATTGAGCGTAAAGTTGTAGGTATCTCAGAGCTCACTCAAGCATTCAATGAAAAAATCCATGATCAAGATTTAAACATAGATAATATCGCTATGCTAACTATCGGTAGCACAGAAAAAGTAAAAGAAGGCAATGAACAAGTCAGAGAAGCAATTCAACGACGAGCCGATGCAAGAGCATGGATTCTCTTTGTTTTATTAGTTTTATCATTTACTCTAATTTTCTTGGATTGGTATGCAGATTGAAAAACATAAATTGGAACCAAAAGTCTTGTTATTATGCTGATTAACTACAATACATGATTTATTTTGCTATATTGTATCGATTAACTATCTTTGAAATACCAAAGAAAAATTCAGTTTCAATAAAATCATTTTCATTATATGATTCAACTAATTGAACTTTGAGCGGAGCTGTGAACAATTGCAACATTTTTGTAATGAACTTACAGAAGGTAAGGATTATAAGAGATAAAACATAAATTAACTACCTGACTAAACTAGTTATTTAAAACGCTGTTTTATCATTTCAGATATTGGTGGAATATTTTTGTTGCTGAAACTTTATCAGCAATTATATACAGTTGGCAGGAGTTCATTGTAATAGGTAATCTATCAAACATTTAATTTCTGTAAAAATAAGTGGTAAAATCAAATCTATATGATGTAAGAATTTCTTCACCTGATGACAATAAAAAAAATTGAATTTATTGTTCGTAAGATGAAACTTGACCCTGATTCATCATAAATATCTTGAATATGATGATTCTCAAGTTGTACATTTTTCTAAATAAACATTTTTTTTCAGGGTCTCTGTGTTAAAATATGCTGATGCTTCCAAAATAATCAATGAATTTTTATGGAGTCATCAAGTTAATAAAAATGTAAGTAAAACATGAACTTGTACTTAAATTGTAATAAAAATAAAGTTTAAAATGATGTAAGAATTTCTTCACCTGAAAATGATAAGAAAATAAATCTGTCATTGAGAGGATGAAACTTGACCCTGATTATTTCATAAATATTTAAAAAGTTATACTTTGTTGCTTAATGCCAGACAGTAATTGAATGCTCTTTGTTACAGATTGGAACCTACTCCCGAGTTGCAACAGATGTGCAAAAACTAAAAAAAATTGTACATACATTATTTTTTTTATAAAATAAAAATGTTTATTTTGTAAATCTAAGACTTGATATTTCAATACCTTAACACCATCAAATAAATAAAATAATTCGATCTAAAAGGTCAAATAAAAAAAGTATGAAACTGAATTATAAGTAAGAGCGCTTGGTGGGTTCTTGAACTACGCGCAAGTATACTTCAATTTAGAAATTTGAAATCATTAGCATTTTTTCATCAATTTCATGGATTAAAAGTTACGAGTGAAATCACGAAGTGGTTTAAACATTGCACACTGACGTCAGGCGAACCGAAAGACGCCACCATCGCGACTCTCTCTTCGTTTTGATTCGTGCATCGGACAAGGACGGAGCACAAACTCCACCTGCAACTTTGTGTATATTTCAGGCTGTAATACAGGTATATACAGAGACATTGCAGACCGCAGGAAGCGAAGCACCATAGGCCGAGAGTATTTTCATTTTTCAGTCGCCTGTCGCGGCGAGTGAAGACATACACACACTCGCGTGCATATTATATATATCGAGAAACGAGTACGGGCTTGTATATGTAAACGCGCATTCCTGCAAGAGGATGCTGCATCGGTGTCCTCGCGATTATTCTGCCCGCAGTTCGTGCAGTTGCAAACCCTTGGAAGCACCGTGAGGGTTCGCGAACGGATATCTCGGATAGCCGATGAAGCATCATGTAAGAGTGAATCAGTGAGGATGTGACCGATGGACTCGCTACTTCAGAAGGATGCTATAGTTAAATAGCGGAACATCGATTAAATGATGTGAGTGCAATATAAATACCACACCGTGCTCTCGAGTAGAGTGATATATACGGCTGCGCGAGTATGCAGTGCACCGACCGCACTCGGCACCGAACGTATGGCATATATATGTACTCATTAAGTAGTTTCTTGCACCCTGTTGAATACGATAATTGAGATCTCATTGTACGCTCATTTTTTTTTTATGAATGAAAGAGGGCCGATGACTTGTGATAAAACGCGTATACTGTGCTACTTGTATCATTGGACTTCTCTTTTATTGAGCGAAAAAATGCACGCGTTTGGAAGGTAAACAAACTGACCTTTGTGTGTATAAGCGTGCACTGAATACGGAGCACTATATCAACAAACGATTGCTATATGCGGATTTAAAATTCACGAACGAAACGAGATTTTTACCGCAATCTAAAGAATATTTTATGACTTGAAATCGTTTGAAACGAGCAGATCTTCTGTAAAACAACAACCCCCTGACTATATTTAGTCGTGTTATTATTATTGACAGGGGTATTTATTGATTTAAAGTGCATTTACATTTATGTAGATGTAACTGCATATTCATCGGAATGAAATTTCCACATTATACTAGAGAATTCATTTCAATGAAGAATAATGAAATAAGTTTATTTGTATAAATAATTTACCCTAAAGATTTTTTTTGAGTGCAACAAAAATTTTAAATTTTATTTTCCAGGAATAACTTATTCACTTCATTCTCACCGGTTTCATGATTCACTTCAAAATGATCAAGTTACTGCTAGTCTTCATATTTATTCAGGGCTTTTTGTCCGTTTATTCACTTTGCCCAGTAAGGTGCAAGTGTAGACCATCTAACAAACCACAAGCGGAATGGTTGCGGGTGATTTGTAAAGATGATATAGAAGATATCATGGAAATTGATTTCAACCCTATCAGTATAGAAATGATTCATTTGTAAGTTATTTTATATCAGAGAAATATTTTTTTCATTTTATACAATTTTTATTAAAATCATTTTATTATTGCAGAGACCTTAGCAAAAATGATATATCTCTGATAAGTGTAAATACTTTCAAAAACCTTTCCAATCTAAAACATTTGAATCTTTCTGCCAACAAAATAACTGTTTTGGATGAAGAGACATTTGATGGATTGATTAATTTGGAAAGATTGTAAGTTTCTAAAATCATTACGTTAGAAATTAATGGTACAATTTATGGCAGAATATATTAAAATATACATTTATTATTTCAGAGATTTGAGTAAAAATTCAATTTCATCCATTGACTCTCATGTTTTTAAAAGACTGCCAAACTTAAAAAAACTGTAAGTAGTTTATATTTAACATTTGTTTATTTTTAAAGATAATCAACATTATTATAATAATATGGATTTACTGTTTAATTAATTTTCTCACAGTGACTTATCAAAAAATAAAATAAACTTGTTAGACAGAACAATATTTCATGGCTTATTGGCTTTAGATCGTTTGTAAGTTTAAATGAAAAAGTTGTCAGAGTTTTCATAGAATTTGGTTTTTTTTTGTGTGATAGTTGTGTCATGATTTTATAATTACACTGTACTTTTTAGCTTAGTTGTATTTTGTAGATCTATTGGAGTTAGATCTTGGTTAAAAATGAAAAAATTAGGAATTGTTAGACTTAGATAATACTTGAATCACTGATACATGAATGATTTCTTTAAAATATCTGAATATCTGATTTATCTTATAGGAAATTAAATGGAAATAAATTGGAAACTTTAAAAGAAGGTACCTTTCATGGACTGCCATTATTGCGTCAACTGTAAGTTTATTGAATAAATATCTAGTACATACAAAAAAAAGTAATATTTATAATCTTTTTTCATGTGTTTTTAGTGATGTATCTTCCAATCCTTGGAAATGTGATTGTAACTTGTTTTGGTTTAGTTATTGGATACAAAACAATTCTATAAAAATAAAGTGAGTGGTATACTGATAAATACTTTGGTCAATTTTTCATTATTAGCTAATTCAAAAAAAATTTTTTATTCCAGTCCTGCTCCAGAATGTGATTCACCTTCAAATTTGAAAGGAAAGTTAGTAAAAAAATTAAAAATTATTAAAGAATTTGAATGTAATTGGTCAACACCATCAATTGAAATTGTGCCGGATCAAAATCAAGTGGTTTTTGCTGGAGATGCTGTTTCTTTCAAGTGTAGGGCACCAAGTATCACTAATGACAGATATGCTCGACTGTATTGGCTATGGTATTCAAATATTACCTCTGACGTTGTAGATTTAGAACTCTACAATGATCCTCGTGTTAAATTTAATGATATTCTAATTGAAAATAGATATCTTGACGACAGTGGAATGGTTTCAAGGTAATTAATCAATAAAATATTTCAAGATGAAAAGTTGCATCTGTAAATATAATTCGTTTTTGTCCTTAGTGTTTTGAATATAGACCCGGTTAAAGAATCACACATTGGACAATGGAACTGTTTTCTCATTTCAACTTACGGAAATATATCTCGTGCTATTAACGTCATCGTTATATCAAATAACACACAATACTGCCCATTATCTGTTACAAGAAGTAATAAAGGTGTCTATGCTTGGCCCCGAACGGTTTTAGGCTGGAAAGTTGAATTAGATTGTGAAGGAAATGGGGTGTCGATTGGGCTACCAGCGCCGAAAGCTACTTATGAGTGCAATAATAAAGGAGAATGGGTCAACTTAAATATGGAGCAATGCCCTTATGTTTCAGCTACTACTAAAATACTCGAACAATTTTCTACCGTTAATGTATCGTTAACAACTCTATCATTGCCCAAAGGATCATTACTAGAGACTATTAAAAAATTGAAAAATATCACTGGAGAAGGAGTATCGTTAACCGATCCCGTAGAAGTTCATTTCGTCACGCAGATTCTTGAAAATTACGCAAGTTATTTAGTGGAAGAGAAAGAACTTGGTACCATGTTAATCGATGTGGTCAATGTTTTGTTGAATCTACCAAAATCTATGCTCAAAGCGGCAGAAATTCATTACAAAGCTTGTACCAGACTTATAAAAACTATTGAAATGATCGTAGAAGTAACACCAGCTAATCAACTTATACAGCTGCATAAAACGAATATGGCATTGGAAGAATACCGAGTCAAACCGGAAACATTTGCCGGTCTAATGTGTACTTGGTACAACAATTTGGATAGTATTTATCCTAAATCGCTTCATTGCTCAATGAATAACAAATCGTCGATATTGAATCCTCACCCTGGTGAAACGAGCATCGAGGCTTCTATACAACTACCGAGATCGCTCTTCAACCGAGTCAAAAGCAGCAGTACAAACACGTATCAACTTATGGTTTCGATGTTTACTGATAACAAGTTATTTCCAAAAATCAAAAATTTTGACAACATGGATATTACTTCAAGCATCGCCGGTAGTAAACTCAGTGAGTTATCTGCAATTTTTATTCAATTTGAAATTCAACTTGAATTTCGTTATGAATTTATAATTTATTTTCAGTTGGCGTAAATGTTCAAAATTTAACGGAACCAGTATTCATCATGCTCAAAGCGCCATTGATTCATTATTCAAATAGTAAGCCAATACCCGTAGTGTGGGACTCGTCTTTAAATAACAAAACCGGTGGTTGGACGAGCGATGGCTGCCATCTATCAAACTTCATCAATAATCTTATAATATTCCATTGTGATAGACTGAGCTATTATGGAATACTGCAAGATAAATCGTTTCTTGACGAAAATGGCAAAACGTACGTTAAACTAATCACACTCTGAACTAATTTTTAATTATACTTTATGAAATTTATTTTTTTCTGTACAATAGACGTACTGGAGCTGCATTTAAATATTCACATCCAGCGATCTACGTGGGCAGTTTCATACTTTTATTCTGTTTGATTTGTTCAACGGTTACCTACGTTTGTTGCTACGCATCGATAGCTATGCCAAAAAGAGCAAAACATGGTATTGTGAATACTTGGATCGCTATGGCCCTTCTCTGCCTTTTGTATGCTTCTGGTATTCAACAAACGGAAAATCTTGAGATTTGTCAAGGCGTGGGAATAGCCTTACATTATTTAACGCTATGCTGCTTACTTTGGATGACTGTATCAGCAAGGTTTGTCTTTCATAACGCGAATTTTAATTCTTGCATTAAGATTTATCGTTCGGTCCTTCATTGATTTTTTTTACAATTACAGTAACATGTACAAACGATTGACAAAATCTTCGGATCCGATAACTGATGACGATGAACTCCAAGAGCCTCCAATTCGTAAGCCTGTTCTTGGCCTGTATCTCGTTGGATGGGGTATAGCGCTTATAATTTGTGGAATATCCGGAGCTATCAATATGCGCGAGTACGCGAGCTACTCCCATTGTTTCCTGAACTCGATGAATTCTCTCGTTGCTCTCATTGCACCCGCCACGATACTCTTGGTCTATCTCATTATACTTTACATGCTTATCAGATGCACTATACGAAGTGTGGACCTTAATGGCCAATTGTCAGAAAGTACACAAGCAACTGAAAATGTCGACCTCGAATTGCTGGAACCGAATCCTCATCCAATTACAGATGGTGGCAGCTTAGATAGTACGCCAACGGTATCATCTGAAGTTGTTGATCAGGAACATTCACTGGTTAGAATTTTTTAAATCATTGACAAATCAATTGTGAAAAAGTTAGCAATTATGAATTATTGAAAATTTAATTTCAGATGAAGCAATTGAAGGCTTTATTCTTTGTCTTGTTGCTCTACGTGATAACCTGGATGTGCGGCGCGATGACTACAACCGATCTTTGGACATCTTACAACCCGTACAAGGAAATGGTTTTTGCAATTCTGTATGCTGTATCTGCCACATTTTTGGGTGGTTTTATTTTGTTCTTTTACGGGATAGCTCGAAGTGACGTTCGGGGTCAATGGTTACGAATGCGCTGCTGGCTGAAACAGAAGAAAAACCGATGTTGCCGTACTAGAAACGTATCGGATTCTAATCCAACTATTCCAACGCAACCGCTTGTTCCTATAATAGCCGGTGAGTACTTAATACCAAGCACGGAAAATATTGAGTAAAATAGATGAATAAAAAATTGAAATTTACAGCGTTACCGCCTATAACAGCACCGATCTCAAACTCGCAAGCAACGACGCAGGCAACGCAAATAACTCAAATAACTTCGGATACTAATTCTTTGGGCTCGTCTCGTCATACGCATAAGTCACTGAGTAGCTGCAATACAGCTAAGCTAGCATTGGCCAACGAGAGGGTAGCCTCGCAGTGTCACGTCAAGCCAAATATCATCATGCTTCACCGTCAACAATATCGCTCGAACAATTCGGTGACAACTTACAATACCGAATCGATACCAGCTACGGTCGAAATGTTCTACAATCCACATCAGAGCGGTGTCGCTCGTAAATTTTTCAAAAAACAGCGACGCAACATGAACAAGAACAGTAAAAATAGCAATCTAGGACCACGAAAGCAGGGAGACGGCGGCGCCAATAGCGACAATGGTGCTTGCGTCGGTATGCACCATCGACGAGTTCCTCATAAACTGGACAATGATATCGAGAGAAATATTTTAGGAAGTAGTTCCAAAGTCAATAATACTAACATTCACGTTGAAATGAATCAAACTAACGACGCGAAGAATGTTAACATTTTATCGGATAGCGGTGGTAGCATGACGGAGGATAGAAATTTAGCTCTGAGATACGTAATAGGACAAGAAAGTATTAGTAAGAATTCAAGAAAAATAAATAACGAATCACCGCTACCTTCTAACGGTTTGTACACTTGCCTTTACCAATTTTTTTATATAAAAGTGACACAAAGCATTTATAAACCTTTGAAATAATTTTATAGGAACTAGTCGTCGAAAGTACCATCATATGACAAATATTGCCAGCTGCAATAGTTCATACGAATCGGATACACCGGAATCGACAAAAATCCAAGAAGAAGCGAAACAGATGCGAAATGTGTCTCAGCAGTGTAGTTTGGAGTGTAGTTCTGAAGTAGAATCGAGCACGAGAGAAGTAGCGAGCGAGCACAGCGAAAGAAATATTTCAGAAGTTAGCGAAGTACCTGAATCCAGATCGAGCGGTGTACGAAGTGATCGAAGATCGAGTATTGACGAAACTTTATCGACCGAACGAGATCGAAGAATAGCCAAGCACAGGTATGCAATTATTTACCGAGTCAATTTTTAAAAAGTTTGTACGTTCGAATTTTCAATTATTTTTGTTATAGGTCATTGGATATCTGTAAACATCACTCCGGTAGCCTAAGCTCATTGCCTATTGCCGATCGTTCTCTTTCATCTCGTACCAAGGGCAGCTATCGAAGTTCTTTGAACGACACGAGTTTCGATAGTTACCGAGGTTTGGATGATTATGATGACGGCCGGCGAGAATCGAATACCACGAGTGGCACCAATACAGATAGACAACCATTAGACAAAATCGTACCTTTCCCTGCAACGCCAGCAACGTCGTCAACGTGCGAAACTAAAATTGCCACTGATGATGAAAGCGAGAACAACGACGACGATACAAGCAATTCCGAGAGAGTCGTTGACGCAGTCATTCCATTGGTCGCAGAAAACGTCGATACTGCCAATGGTGAATCGCTACCTTTATACGATTTTACTGAACGAGACGCACATGTCATTCAGTATAAACAGCACCATCCTACTAATAACGATTATGAGAATACTCGAGAGGTAAGAGATGATACGATGAACTCGAGCGAAGCGCAATTAGGTCAGGAAGAAATGTTGGAAGCGAAAATAGAGACCAGTGTTTAGTAAGGATATCGATCGTAATATCGATTTTTCAAAGGTTGTGTAAAATAATTTTTATCGAGTGATAAATATAGGACATTCGAGTATCGCACAAATATGATCAACAAGCCGGTATTGAATATGAATTTTCAAATATAATTTTTTTTTAATCAAAATTACAATGTGTAATTTAATTAAGGAAAATGAAACGAAAAAACGTTAAAAACACGTGAAAGTATTAGAAAATATATTTCAACAGTATTAATTGATCGTTTTGATATCGAATTGCATACTAATGAGCCATTACGATTAATATAGGCAATTTTCATTGCCAAATTAATGACGTACATACTTTATGAATATGTTTTGCACTGCCATATATTTATGAATCATAAACTTTTCATGTACTCAAGGGTTATAGCTCTCTCTCTATTAACAAATAAATATATTATACAGAATATGTAGGAATAATAAGACTTGAATATCGTACCAACAATGGCACGTTAACGCAGAGACTTTTGTGCTATACTGTTTTTTATTCTATTTACAAATCTAGTTAGAATTCAATTTCATTCTTAACGCTGATTTAAAGAATGTGTCTATTCGACTAATCATAAGCAAGTAGTTTTATTTATAAAAATTCGACTTGACTGCTTCGCAGTTCTTGAGATTAAATCTAAAGAAAAACGAATTTATTGAGATATGTTTAGAAAATCTCATTTTTCAAGTAAAATTTTCAAAGTGCCAACCAATTTAATTCCATATACTTTGAAATGGAATAAAAAGTAATGTCTTTATTAGATAAATGTACTATCTATAATGCCAAGGGTCAAGAGAGGAGCTTTTTATGCTACATAATTCATGCGCGATTGAATAGAAAATAATTTCAAGGTCGAAACAAATGAAACTTTATGAAATTATCCTTTCGTAGGTAAAAAGGTAAAAATACACATATTCATTATTTTCATAATGAAACATGATTTTTATAAGCACTCTGGCGTTTTTGAATGATTTATGATCAGAAATAAAATAATTAAATTTCTTGTGAATTCTTCGCTCAAACTGTATTAGATATCATATATCTATAAAATATCACGAATGTTTTTGTAAGTTTTTACTACCAAATTTTCAATGTTCAAAGTACCCATTTGATACAATTTTTAAATCTCAACTAAAAAGAAGCACAATATACACTACTTTGTATAGAAAGATTTAAGAACATGTCTATATTGATAAAAATCTTTTACATCGCGTAAAACAGGGTTTGTAAAGTTAGCAAAATTTAGCTAGTACTGAGTAGAGTACTTAATGTTCTGAGAATATTCATTGCAATGGCCAAATCATTGAAAAAAAATCTGTGAGTTCAGAAAAAATTGCAAAAGCTGTAAATTGTCTCACTCAGTTTTTTCCGAATAGTCACTTCTTTGAACAAATTAAAACTGAGATTCATTCGCACCATGACAAATGGAGTATTAATTTAACACGATTATCATACTGATAAAAAATACGAAAAATGTATAATGTATAGGTTTAAAAAATTTTATACCCATCTTTAGATGAATTTTGTAAGAAACGATTTATATCATCGTTGAATTTATATGTATATGTATTGTTATCAATGTGTAAATAGAGAAATTTGGATTGCAATTTTGCAACTATATATAGTAGAAATGTACAGTATGATATTACTTGTAGCGATCTTCGATATTATAATAGTTTTTGTATTACACGTTTCAATACGATTTATGTACGTTTCTCATAATAATCGAAACTTTTCCTATTAATTAACTATCGCTTTACAGGGATTCTTTAAAGACTGACTTTTTTCGTGCCAATTAATAAAACTTTTTTTAAATATTTTTTAACCCATAAAAATTATCTATATATTGTAAATATAACCAGTTCTAAAAATAAACTGATTTAATAATAATAATAACTTCCAATGAACTTTTTCTTGTATTTTAATCCGATACATGTACTATCGTCGTGTCAAAAGATCAATGAACATTTTTCATAAAAGTATCAATACTGATAAAATAAGCAAATTGTTTGCCATGCAGCTTAACTTACCAGTATTACTGCTCTGTTCAATAGCACATAGTTTTATACAAGAAATCTGTTTTTGTGTCATTTTAAATGTTAAAAGTACACAATGAATACTAATTACTTGATTCAGACCACTCTAATCAGTATCACAGTTTTTTCAAATCTTTACTTATGCTGTGATGAAGTTAAATCAACGAATGATGGTGCAAAAGTAATTATTATTGGTGCAGGAGCAGCTGGTATAGCTGCCGCATCAAAATTATACGCTAATGGATTCAAAAATGTAATAATATTAGAAGCTCAAAATCGAACCGGTGGACGCATCCATACGACACAATTTGGTAAACACCTACTAAATTGACCAACGATTCACATGCCCGACAACGAAATTATTTCTTTATTTTACTATAGGCGAGTATTTGGTAGATCTTGGCGCTCAGTGGGTCGATGGCGAAAAAAACAATGTGGCATTTGACTTGGCGAACAATTATGACCTGTTAAGTAAAACAGACGGCTCCGAAATTCCCGTGACGCAGTTGTTCATAGATTCTCTCGGAATTCCCTTGCATACCGAGGTAGCCACAAAATTATCGAATTTTTACTTCGATAATGTTTACTGTACTTTGAGGCCAAAATTAAACGTGTCAGATTACAAAAGCTACGGTGATTATGTGGAAAAAGTGTAAACCATAAATACTTTCTCAGTTTTACGAGCGTTCGAAATTACTTCGAAATTATTACTTGATAAACGAATTTTCGGCTATAGGTACGATGAAAAATTTGCCAACGAATCGGACATGATCGTCAACAGGCAGAAATATTTACACCATTTGGAGTCGTTTGTACTTGGCTCTATCTCAGCATATTCTTGGTACAACGTTTCTCTCTTGAGTATAGCGAAATTCTCGCAATGTGGAGTAGATCCTTTGATTAATTGGAAGGAGCGTGGATTTTCGACTATACTAGATATTTTGATGGTGAAGTCATTGCTCGATAATTATTGAATAATTATTGAATCAAAACATAATTATTAAATTATACATGCAATACAGAAACGCTTCCCAGATCCAAAATGTGAGCTTCCCGTCATAAACAATACAATTTTCGATAGCGAAGTTACATCGATAGATTATTCGAGGTCTGAAAAATCTTCGGTTTTAATAAGTACTCAGGACGGTAAAACATACGAAGCTGATCACGTTATAGTTACTGTCTCACTTGGAGTTTTGAAAGAAAAACACGAGACGTTATTCACACCTGGTCTGCCAAAGGATAAAGTCGATGCTATAGAGGTACCGAAAATTAACATCAAATAATCGAAGAGTCATTTTTCATTTAGATACATGATAATGCAGGGTTTGGAATACGGAAACTTGGCGAAAATATTTTTACTGTATGAAGAGCCTTTCTGGTCTTTTTGGAGAGACGAAAGTATTTCACATTTCACGTTCATATGGGACGACGAGGATCGGAAAAATATCGAATCTCAGGTCAGTAAAAAGAAAATTATCCAAAAAAATAATATGCTTTGACTTCGATTATATTTTAGCCGAAAAAAAGATGGTTGCTGGGAGTGACCGGAGCTATGACTGTCGCGTACAGGCCCAATTTACTCGAATTATGGGTGGCAGGTATCAACGTCGAGGAAATGGAAAAACTGTCGAACGAAGAGATTCACAATCAGACGGTAGAGGTCCTTCATCGATTTTTAGACAAGAAACTTGACGTCACCGAGCCAATCGCAATGTTACGGACTACCTGGTTTAGTAATCCGTATTTCAGAGGTGTTTACAGCTATCGCAGTCCCGAAACCGACAGAAGAAATGTCAGCGCCGAAATGTTGGAGGGCCCAATCAATGGGGATAAGCTCGTACGTGTCTCCATTAAAATGAAATGTTCAATATACAAATATCCCCTTAATGTTAGAAACAATTATTCGCAGAATGTTTTAATTGCTGGCGAAGCCACGTCGAAAACGAGATTCGCCACCGTCGACGGGGCAATCGCATCGGGTTGGAAAGCCGCCGATCGTTTGATCGAATTTTACGCTAAAAATCTGAAGGGGGAAGAGGCGATTTGAAGTGTCGAATGTGATGAAATAAAAGTTAAAAATACCACACAAAAATTACACCGTTTCCTTTAATTACAATCAACTCAGCATGATGCGAAAGTTCAATGTTTGTCTCGAAACGAAGATTTTATCCGTATCATTGTTACGTAAGGTCATATATTTTCCTCGATAAATCATCCGATCCGCGACTTCGGATCAACTAGTCCAATATAAAATTAGTTGTCATGCAGACATCGATGAATGAATTAATGAAGATAGCGCAATAGTCGTAAAAGCGGCTGCAGCGAGCCGATAACGAATCGCGAGCTTTCGGAGAGACTATATACAAGCGAAACATTGTAGATACTTCGAGAGTCGGTCGGTACGCAAGCGCTCCGAGTCTTTTCTCATTTTTTATTTTTTACGGGTATGCGATAATTATGAATACGAAAAAGGGCGTGAAAGCTAAAATCGTGATCGTCGGTGCGGGCCCGTCAGGTATAGCCGCGGCATCGAAATTGTTCCAAAACGGGTTCGACGATGTAACCATACTGGAAGCTGAAAATCGCATCGGTGGTCGAGTTTATACAGATCAATTAGGTACGTTTGACACGAGCTTGTAGAAAATTCGGCTCATCGAAGTGCATTTGTTACCAGGTGATTACAGCATCGATTTCGGAGGGCAATGGGTCCACGGGGAGGATGGAAATGTGGCCTTCGAATTGGCGAACCCCCATGGCTTGATCGACAAGTCCAACGAACCATGGACCGAATTTGTTGATAAATATTACGATTCTTCTGGCAATAGACTGGACAGTCATGTTGAAAAGAGCATTTCGAATTTTTTTTCCGATCACGTGCAAAATTCGGAAGACAAACGATTCAAATCCATTGGAGAATATGCTACGAAAATGTATCTTTTTTATTTCTTCGTAATTAATCGTTAAAAAATGTCAAATAATTATATTGTCATTTTTATTTTTGAAGGTTTGATCAGCAATTTGGAAACGAGTCTGATATTTTTAAATTCAGGGATCAGTATTTATATCATTTGGAACGTCATGCAACTACTATGAAATCTGCAGAAACGTGGTTTGACATTTCAACTGCAGATGATGGCTTTCGTAATTTTCCAGGAGATCAAATGATTAATTGGAAAAATCGAGGCTTTTCTACGATATTAGAGTTATTGACCGTATGTTTAATAATTTTTTCAAATTTCATATCATAAAATAAATGAATAAAATTTGAGCAGCTGCATCTAATCCTTATACTATAAAATGCAAATTTTAGAAAAGATATCCGGACCCTTCGAAGGAATTGCCTATAATAAAAAATACAATTCTGGGCGACGCAGTAACTCGTATAGATTATTCAGCAAAGGATACGAAAAGTCCTGTTACGGTATCTACCGAAAAAGGAAAAAAGTACGAAGCTCATCACGTGATCGTTACGGTTTCTCTTGGCGTTTTGAAGGAGCAGCATTCGGCCTTATTCAACCCTCCGCTACCTACTTACAAAATTCAAACGATAGAGGTTATCATTTAGATTTAAAAAATTACTTTCGGTCAATAATTAGCAAAGTTTTTTTCATCAAAAAATATCAATTTCAAGGGATTGGGATATGGCCACATAGCAAAGATATACTTATACTTCGAAGAGCCATTTTGGGAGATGGATAATTCGAAAATTTCAAATTTCATTTTGATCTGGAACGAAGCTGAAAAACGTCTTTATGAAAGCAATGTAAAATTTTTAATTAATTTTTGTGTAAAAAATTGCACTATTAACAATGTTCTAAATGAACGAATGTACTTTAGATAGAAAAGAAGTGGGTCATTGGCATCAACCACATCGTCACTGTGAAGCATAAACCGAAACTACTGCAATTTTGGGTATCAGGAGAGTACGCCAAAATTATGGAAAATCTATCGGACGACGTCATTCTCGATCATTTGATCGAAGTACTGCATCGATTTTTCCACAAAACTTACAAAGTAACGAGACCTTCATTGATCGCCAGATCGAAGTGGTATTCGAATCCTCATTTCAGAGGGACTTATTCGTACTGGAGCACCGATGGCGAAAGTAGACAGATTAATCGCGAGATGCTAGAAACTCCACTGACAATGGATAATCCAGTGAGACATATTTTTCATCATAATTTCAAACTGTATTTCAAACAGTTTCACATTGATTGATGAATTACGTTTTCTTTTCCAAGGTCGTTCTATTTGCCGGCGAAGCCACGTCGAAGACTAGATTTTCCACCGTCGACGGTGCCATCGTTTCTGGATTCAATGCTGCCGATAAACTCATAAAGCACTACGCAAAAAATCAATGAAATTATCTTTCGACATTCCTGTAATTTTGTGAAAATTCATTTGTGCTTAAAAATTTGACGTCGTCGACGATTAAAAAGTACCCAAGCTTTAATTGTATTGAAATCCAACAATGGATCAGCCTACTTATGTTTATTAGGTACTACCTACGTACACTTAAACGAGCAATAAACTGACCTCTTCGGTAGTTCGGTAATTGTCATTTGACAAACAATGAAAATAACAGTGGCTCAATTATATTAGCCACTGCGAAGATGACGGAGTCGGCAGTAGCGTACGCTCGAGCGTCTGCTTGGATTTCGCGGCACGTATAAATGCCCTTAGCTCAACTGCAACTGCAAATTTCAACGGTGTAGTTTTTTCAACGACGCAGTGTGATTTATATTCAAATCTTTCGGATAAATATAATATTTTTATATGCTTGCGCGGAGCGATGAAAGATTGAGTCGACGGAGTATTATTTGATCGATATGAGTAACCAGGCAAGGATTTCGATTCGAAATTGTATTATTTTCGTGTTTCTGATAAATTGCATACTTAGCGCGTGTGCCGATGGAAAGAAAATAACGAGCGATGCAAGCGACGCGTCAAAAGCTTCACCGAGAATCATTGTCATCGGGGCCGGCGCAGCCGGCATAGCGGCAGCCTCCAAACTACTCGAGAATGGATTCGAAAACGTGAAAATTTTGGAGGCGGAGGCGAGAATCGGGGGACGCATTCACACGGCGCAATTCTGTAAGTAAATCGCGGCTCAGCTCCTCCACTGTATAAATCGACTCGCTGAAAACGTTGACTTTTCTCCTTGCTTCTCGTATGTGTACAGTCGATTACAGTATCGACCTTGGCGCTCAGTGGGTGCACGGCGAGAGCGAAAACGTCGCCTACGAGCTGGGCGAGCCCCTGGGCGTGTTCGGCAAATCGGACGAGCCCGCTCACGGTTTTCGCAGGGCCGAGTACTTCGACTCGCGCGGCAATATGCTGCAAAAGGATATCGCGAAAAATCTGACGAGCTTCATTTCCGAAAAGTTGTTTCGCATGACCTTCGAGGACAGGCCCAAGTCCTTCGGGGAGTGCGCCGAAAAATTGTAAGCTCGAGCCGGCAAAAATTCTCGCTGATTTTCGTCTCATTCGTAAAATGCATTTTGTGCAGATTCAAGGAAAGCTTCGACAAGCAATCAAAGATTTACAACGACAAAAACAGATATTTGTCTTTACTGGAATCGATAACTAACGGGTACTACGGCACCAAATCTTGGCACGATTTGTCGGTGGACATAGATCAGTGCAAATTACTTCCAGGCGATCAAATGATCAACTGGAAAGAGAAAGGAAGTTCGATGCTGCTCGATATAATGATGGTAATTAACTTTAACAAAGTAAATTAGAAAATACGATTTTTTTTTCATTCGTGCCTGCATACTCGAGGGATTATTTACAGAAACAACTGCCCGATCAAAAACGAGAGCAATCTCTGCTAAACAAGACGATTCTCGATTCGGAGGTGCTTTTCGTGGATTATTTACCGAGCGGCGAGGGTCCGCCGGTCTTGATAACGACGACCAAAGGATTTTTGTACCAGGCCGATCACGTCATCGTGACTGTTTCTCTCGGAGTCTTGAAAGAAAAGTATAAGTCATTTTTCATACCGCCATTGCCAGATTACAAAGTTCAAACTATCAATGTAAATCCGATATAAATAATAATAATAACATAATGTAGAGCACGTCTTAGTAAAAGGTGACGATGAGAATCAATACAAAGTTCATATATTTCTATTTTCTTTTTCCGATCGTCCCAAGGCAATTGGATACGGCAACGTAGCGAAGATTTATGTTCTCTTTGAAAAACCTTTTTGGAAAGTAGAAGATCATGGAAAAGTTTTGCACTTTATGTTCACGTGGAACGAGGCTGAAAAAAAAACTTTACAGAATGACGTGAGTAAAATATAATAAAAGTAAGAAAGTCCTCACAAGGATTAAATTTAAATGTATATGCTGAAATAACAGAAAGAAAAATCTTGGGTACTCGGCATATACGACGTGTCGACCGTGGAGTACAAACCAAATCTGCTGGAAATTTGGATAGCTGGAAATTATTCGCAGGCCATGGAGCGTCTGCCGGAATTCAAAGTATTCGATCACGCGGTGGAGGTGCTTCAGCAATTTTTGGGCCGAAAATACAAGCTGGAAAATCCCAAAGCCATGTACCTGAGCCAGTGGTACATGAATCCTCATTTCAGAGGCGCCTACAGCTTCCGAAGCCTGGAGATGGAAAAGCAAAAAGTCTCCGCGGATATGTTGGCGAAACCGCTGGAAAATTTGGTAAGTCGATCGAGTGACTTTGAAAATTGAACTGAACCAGTAAATTCTTTGATCATACAGAGGGTACTCTTTGCTGGGGAAGCGACTTCGTCGGATCGATTCTCAACCGTCGACGGGGCTATCGCAACAGGCTGGAGCGCAGCCGACACGCTGATCAATCATTATAAAAAATAAAACTCTAAAATTTATCTTGTAACGATCGTTAACACGACCGATGTAATTTTTTAAATGAACTATAAATCTGTACATTACTTCTTACGAGAAAAATTCCTCTCGAACATCGCCTTTGCTCTACGATCGCGATGTTTATACACAAAGGAAATAAAACGAATTGAATAAAGATAAAAAAGTGCTCGTAATCGTTGAAAAATGTCAATTAGCCTAGTAACGTGCCAAACAAACATCTCCGACGGATGATCAGCGGCAGTGCAGTGCCATCGCATTTCATCGCTTAGCAAGTAAATGCCTCTATCTGTTTAGCCTCGCGGCGATTGAGAAACGTCCTCGTAAGCTTATGCTTATGCGGCAGCAGCAACGATCAGAGAGCCGCACGTGGACGCGCAGAACATAATAACATCTATTTGCGGATCGCGAGACGAGGATCGCGCCGAGGCACTAGTTTCGAGTCGTCTATCGTTGCCCGCGAGCATCGCTTTGATTCGCTCCGCGTTATCGCTGCTGCTTCTGATTTTGTTACGCGCGCCGACATGGCGAGATGCAGCGGGTCCTCGATCAGCAAGGCAGTGGCCCTTTGCTTATTCCTGGCCGTTCTAGTTGAGGCCTACAAGCTTCCGAGCGACGCCAAGAAAAACGCCAAGATCGTCGTGATCGGCGCGGGAGCGTCCGGAATCGCGGCTGCCTCGAAGCTCTTCGAGAACGGCTTCAGCAACGTAACCGTTTTAGAGGCCGAGGATCGGATAGGCGGTCGCGTCTACACGGCTCGATTCGGTAATTTCTCCGTGTTATTGGATTTTCGATCGACCACGATTTTTTATACTATTTTCCACGCCATCTAACAGCCAACTACTCGGTTGATCTCGGCGGGCAATGGGTGCACGGCCAAGATGGAAACGTCGCCTACGGCCTGGCCAATCCGCTGGGACTGTTGGACGCGTCCGATCGACCGGACTTCGGTTTCAAGCAGAAACTCGTGGATTCTCAGGGGGAGCCGATCGACGACGCAGTCGCTGAAAAATTATGGCTCTTTTTCATGGAAAATCTGCACGACGTGGAATTCCATAACGATACCACCTACGAGTCCATCGGTCAATACGCCGATAAAGTGTTATTATGCTGAATATATTTTTATCGCAAAATTCTAATCGATCGAGCGATCGAAATTACCTAAAGGACGTATTTGATATTTTCTTCTCTTTAGATTTGACGAGAAGTTTCAAAACGATCCCGAAATATTGAAGAACAAAAGTAAGTATTCGCACTTATTGGAATCGATGAGATTGAGCGCGGACCCGGCCGATTGTTGGCTCGAGTTATCTGCCCTCGGTTCCCAAGTCTATAAGGAATATCCTGGCGATCAAGTAGTCAACTGGAAGACCAGAGGCTACTCCACTATTTTGGATATTCTCATGGTAATAATTAATCTCATTTGCTGGAAAAACTTGTAAAAATCACATCGACTTCCGTAGAAAGCTTTTCCGAATCCTGAACAAGAATTGCCGGTGAGGAACAACACGATTTTAAGCACCGAGGTCACTTCGATCAATTATTCCAATTTGAAGGACGATTTGCCGATTTTAATCACTACGAAAAATGGAAATCTGTACAAAGCCGATCACGTGATAGTGACGGTTTCTTTGGGAGTATTGAAAGAAAGACACCAAAATCTCTTCATACCTTCACTGCCAGAGGATAAAGTTTCTGCCATAGAAGTACGTATAATTATAATTATTTCAAAGAATCGAGTAAATTATATTTTTAAATCATTAATCCGCAAAATTTCAGGCAATTGGATTTGGTAACGTGGCAAAAATATACCTTCAGTACGACCATCCGTTTTGGGAGGTGGGTGACAATAGGATCTTGGCTTTCTCATTCGTCTACAACGACGACGATCGGCTGAAACTCCAAACAGACGTGAGCTTCCATTTCGAGTCATCGTAAAAACGAATAGCGTAATAATAAACGAATTAAAATCCTCGAATCTTCTATACAGCCGGAGAAAGAATGGCTGCTGGGCATGTACGGCGCGATGACGGTCGAATCGAAGCCGAAGCTCCTGACGCTCTGGGTGACGGGAAAATACGCCAAACAGATGGAGGCTCTGAGCGAGGACAAGGTTCTCCTGCACGCAGCGGAGAATCTTCGACGATTCCTGAAGAAGAGCTATCCCGACATGGGGGAACCGGTGGCGATGCTGCGATCGCAGTGGTTCACGAATCTGCACTTCCGAGGCACCTACAGTTATCGCAGCGTGGAGACCCACAAGCGCGGAGCATTTCCGGCAGCGCTGGAGAAACCCGTGCTCCCGGAGAAAATGGTATAGATTTGCGTTTTAGTGAGAAAAGTCGATGTTTTAAAAGGCGACTGACTTTTCGATTTCAGGCGCTTCTGTTCGGAGGAGAGGCGAGCGAAAGCGAGCGATTCTCGACGGTGGATGGTGCCATTAGAGCCGGCTGGAAAGCAGCTCAACGCTTAACAGATTTTTATGAAAATAAATCATAATTGAAAACGATGAATTCTTAATAATTTTTAATGTCAAGGCTAAAACATTGCGTAAAACATATTTTGTATATTTTTTCATTTATTCAAATCTAATGAAAATTTTACACTAACAAAAAATATTTACAGACTATTTATAAAAAAAATTGTAGAAATTTCAATACACTATTATTTTTATTTGCATCCTCCTTCAATACGTAATTTCATCATTGTGCTCATTTCCATTATTTGGTAACAAAATGTTTTAGAAAAATATTAGCTTGCTTTACTCCAGTATCGTACGCTCCATGAGTGGTAGAGTAATAGTTTTCATGAGTAGCTTCTCCAGCAAACATTAGAATAGGAAGATTCTGTAAGTAAAATTTTCAATAAAAATCTTTTGTAAAATTTATGAAAGTATTAATTTTTTAAACAGTTTTGAATCAATACCTCGTGAAGATTATTTTTTATTCTTTTTCCCCAGATTGGTTCAGCTAAAGTAGCTGGGGAAACTCCTGTAATATCACACTTTTTTGTTATATGACTATAACTACCTTTGAAATATCTATTGGAACCCCAACAACTTTTTACACATTTATTTGCTTCTGGTAATGAATCATTTTTCAGGAAATATCTGAATAAAGTCTTACAGTCTTGAATCACTTGTGATTCACTTAGTGTTTCAATAATTTGTGCTCCTTTTCCTCCAATCCATCCTAATAACACAGCCTTATGGTTTTGTACAACATCAAATCCTGTTAAATCATAAACCCAAGGAGCAAGTTTTTTTCTCAGTGGGTTATTTTCTTCATTTTTGGAAAGTTTCCACAAAAACTGAAAACCTTTAATGTGAGGTTCCCACCAAGGTTCATCAAAATCAAGATAAATTTTATTTATTAAACCAAAACCTAAGTTTTCAATAGCTGTCCTGTGTGGTTTTGGTAAAAGAGGACTGAAAAATGTTAGTTGAGATTCTTTGAGAAAACCTAGAGAGCATGTAATAATTACACAATCTGCAGATATAATCCTTTTGTTTTGTAATGTTATAGTTACTGGTTTGTTATTTGATAATTCAATACTATCATCCCATTCTACTTTTGTTACTGGGGTATTTAAAATTAGATTGTCTAGATTGAGTTCTCCAACCAGATAGTCTACAATTGAACTATAATGGGATTCAAATATATTGTGTTCTGGGCCATTCACAGCCTAAAATTTCAAATGATTTCAATAATAAAAATAATAAAAAAAACTTGAAATTTGTTTTTAAAAAGTCTTATGTACCTTGAATTTTCCCCAACTTTTTACAGAAAGATTTTCCAAAGAATTGCAAGCATTATCAATAATGAGAAATCTTATATTCCAGTCATAAATTTCTTCTTTGGCATTTCTTACAAAAATTGGATCATTTTTCATTTTTAAATATTTATAAAACCTTGATTCCAAAACGTTTCCAATATTGTCTTCAACATCATTACATTCAATGTCGATATTATTGGCAAACTTTTCACAGTCTTCTAGAATATTTTTAACAATATCATCAACTTCTAGTATTAAATCTTTATTCATTTCAGCACCATTTTCTTGTAAATAAAGGCCCTCTCCTTCTCCGACATGTTCATCAGAAATAAGACCTAGTTCTTGAGCTAATTGACCTAATGTACTTTCATTGCCATGCAAAAATTGGGCTCCTTTTTCCAACCATCCATTATTGTGAGGGATTGAACATATTCGTCCTCCCACATGATCTTGTGCTATAGATAGATTTAATCAATTAAATTTATGATCTTTGAAAGATATTTCAACGATAAAAATGTAAAGCCCACCTTCAATTAATTTATAATCTCTATAGTTTGACTTTTCAAGAGTCACAGCAGCTGCCAAGCCAGCGATACCTGCACCAATTATTACTATACCTATGTTTTCTGAATTAGAATTAGATTTACTTAAATCCATATTTCCGGAATAAACTGACACACACAAACATTAATGATTATCACAGTTATTACCACAATCCCAGTGACGTGGTTTCGCTTCGTAAGATTCGGAAGTTCTCAAAATCCATTTATATTACTATCTATTTACTCCAGCTCGTAAAAAGTGCTGCATACGCTTTATACTTCCAAGGAATCGAGTCGAATGATGAATGAATTTGTAACTCGAGGCTACTCTCGATTGAACAGCGTTTATTACGATGATTGCTATCGCACATCTTTGCCGATGTATCAAGTAATAGGACGTAAAATTAAAGGGCAAGGGTTAAATTTAGAAACGTGCACACTACTGCAATATACAGGTACACTGAAAGAGATAAATGTGTTTGTCCATAATCGCCTCGTGCGTCGTTGAAGATTTACGTCATATTTTATGTATGCATTATAAATATGCGCGAGCGCGTCTGCTACAATGTTGGTCATGTACAGTTTGAAACTGTTAAACATTTTTGGAATTTAATCTCAATAGTCATCTCGGTAGTCAAAAGTAAAATCTTCATGAAATGAAATCATTCAAAATATATGAATCTGTTGAGAATATACGTTAGTCATGACTGAATAATCTGCACAAATAAAAATTGTTCAACTAAATTTGTAATTTCGCGCCTTTGGCAAAAACATTCAGATAACAGATGCAAAAACTTTTTATAGAATGCCTCGTTTTTATTGATATCAGTGAGCGCACGTACATTTTTTTGTTGATATGTCATAGTGAGTATAGGTGTCTGCTTAGAATAAAACCACAGAACAATATAAAACATTGAACAAGCTAATGATGTTTTATATTTTTTTACTGGAACTAAGTCAAACTATATAGTGATACTACTATTATCAGCATGAATTCCAACATTAACAAAAAGTAATTTCACATATGATATCTGGATTTTTAAATATTCCTACAATTTTTACAATACTTAATTTCAATCATGTTGTTTTAGCGTTTCTGATTTAGAATCAGAACTAGAAAAGCTTAGACTAGAAGGTCTTACAAAACATGTGGGTATGGCTGAACAATCTTCAGCAGTGATTGACGTAGCATCAACTATTCATTCATCATACCTATTTGATGAAATAGGTAGATCTTTATTACAACATATATGTCTTATAGTAAGCTCAACAGCTTCTGGAAGATTTTATGGAGATTGGAAAAGCTTTGGAATTCAACTGGGTTTGACACAAGAACAAATAAAAGTGATTATTGAAATTTAACACTTCAATTTGACAACATATTAACAAGTATTAATTGATTATTGCTTTCATTTTCTTAGTGCATCGAATATGATTTTATAGGCTTGCAAGATCCTACATACTATGTATTGTTAGCATTTGCACAACATAATGAGGCTACATTGGATAAAGTTGTCGATGCATTTGACGCAATAAAACGGAAAGATGTTATAAACCGAGTTATGCATCATTTTGATAACTTTTACCTTAAAATACAAGAGACAAAATATAATGGTAATTAACTATTTTTCAATCATTTTAAAATGCACCTTTATGAATGCATTAAAACTGTTCTATTTCAATATTTTAAATTATATTATATGATTCATGAATTATTATAAATAGATTTCAAAAATGGAATGTATCGGCCAAGTACCTTACCAAGAGCTCCATTAGTTCTATGTCCCACAAATGTGAATCAAGAGTCAACAACATTGACTTTAGATGAAGTTTCTTCATGTAAAGATGAAGTTTCTTCACATAAAGATGAAGTTTCTATGTGTAAAATCAATGTGTCAAAACCACCAAAAGAAGAAATTGTTATTCCAAAAAACAATTCTATTAAAGAGCCTAATATAATGGCATTTACTACCTTACCAAAAATTAAGGTAGAACACAATATTCTTGTGAATTCAAGTCCCTCACATGCAATTTCCAAATTATCAAAGGTATATAATTTAAATTAGTAAAAATTATGCTCAATATTAGAAATATATAAAAAAATTTGAAATATTTTCTTTAGGAAAATTTGAAAAATAAGAAAAAATATAACTGTATAATTATGTTAACGTTTGCTGAGGATGGGAAATCAGTAGCAGAAAAAGTGGCTGAAAAATTGAGAAACAATGTACCAAGAATAGGAGTACTAATGTTTCAAGAACAAGAAAAGCATGTTTTATCAGGAGCTGAAGAGTTTATAGAAGATTGCTTTCATCAGGTAATATAATTGAAATAATTGAAATAATTTTAATTGAACGATAAGTAAAATTATTTTTATAATTCTTTTCAGGTCAATTACATAATACCAATATTGACACCTATTTATTTAGAAAGACTACAAGGTAATGCACATAATATGATAGATATCAGAAATTTAGATGTAAAGTATCTCCGATATATTTTTTGTTTGATGCGTTATGAATATCTACGAGATTCCTGTTTGAATAGAAGAGTTCGGTAAGCTTTGAAAATTAAAAGATTTTTTTTATAAATGGAGTATACTTATGTTGTTAATATATATTTTAGATGTTTGGTTCCTGATCTTGAATTACGTAAAGTGCTTTCATACTTTATGCATCCTGTTTTACAAGCTTGGTTTAAAGTAAGTGACTTGGATGAGTTTGCAGATAAAATTGCATCGAAAGAATTGTAAACTTTAACATTAATTTTTTGTGAATCAATGTAAATTCTTTAATTTATTATTATAAAAGTGCCTTATTGGAATTGATAATTCTAAGATGTATCTATTTTTAATATATTTTATAAATTGTTGTCTATTTTAAGAAAAAGAAAGTGATTAAGAGTATTTATTTTGTATAATGTATTGTGTATCATTTTCAAATAATTTTAAAAATCTAAAATTTACGTTTTCTTTGAACAAACTCAGTATTCATACTTATAAATCTTTTTATGTCAACTACATTATAAGATGGTTGAATTATATAGAATTTCTTCTGGGTGATTAAGAAAATAATTTTTATTTTTAATAATAGTAATTTTATAATCTGAACGCGATAAATATCAACCACTCCAAAATGCATATATCCTATTATGAAAACATTTTGACATTATTATAAGTCACAACAGTTTCTGTAGTTCTATAAAAGAACTAGCGAATGAGACGCCGGACTGAGAAATCACTAGCGGAACGTGGGAAATCGAACCGAGAAAGAACTAGATCTAGTGAGAGAATCTATCGATGCCCAGCCTAATGGGAAAAAATATCAATAGCATAGAGGGCGCTGAGGTATTCAAGCGTCTATGTTACATGAGTTGTCTGCTGTAAAATAACAGTATACACACGTTCGCGGCCTACTATGCTCGCTGCAAAGTGTTGAGCGAATTCTTTCGGTTAAACGTGAATGATGGATTAGTGTTGACTGCTGTGTATTTTTTAATTATTTGTGCGTTATAAATAGTACTTCTGTACTTTCTACATAAAAGGATTCACAGACTATATTTCATCATGGCTGAAAAGGTCAAAACTGGGCAGAGTAAAAGTGCTCCAAAAGATGCTCAAGTTATACTATCTATTATGAAAGATATGGGCATTTCAGAATATGAACCAAAAGTAATTAATCAATTATTAGAGTTCACGTATCGTAAGTAAATTTTCTTAAAAATTTTTAGTTGTATTTATTCAATAAATTTATTTAATAAATTATTTCAATATCTTTTTATGAAGGTTATGTTCACACTATTTTGGAAGACAGTAAAGTATATGCCAATCACGCTAAAAAGAAAACTATAGATGTGGAAGATGTACAACTTGCTGCCAAAATGCAAATGGAAAAATCATTCACCAATCCTCCTCCTAGAGAAGTTTTAATGGATGTAGCCAAAGTGAAAAATGTAGAACCATTACCACCTGTCAAACCAAGTTATGGCTTGAGATTACCGCCTGACAGATACTGTCTCAATGGCACAAACTACAAACTCCACTCAGCTCCTTCTAAAAAAGGTGCAAAAGGTGGAAAATTAAATTCAGCTGGATACAAAGTAGTCAAACGACCTGGTTCTACTGCCAATCTTCCTAAAACCCAGACCATATCAATGGCTAAACCCACACCTAAAGTGCAACCAGCAAGCAGTGTAAAAACGCAGAAACCGACAAAAGTGAAACCCATGGAAATGGATATACTGTCACCTGATCTCGGTCAAGGTTCTTTATCAGTAGGTGCCGATGTGGAATCATCATTGAAAAGAAAGCGGGAAGATGATTCTGATGGAAATTATGATATGTCTTGATATTTTAATTCATGAGTTTTACTTGTAAAATATACATAATGAGAAATTAGGCTTGAGATTTTAGAACAAAACTTATCAATGGTTCAATGGTTGATAGTTATTTTGTTTCATAACATATACTAAGATATGTTACTTAATATACTTTTTAATGCCATCTGGAAAAATAAGTATATCGCTGGAAGAGAGTAGCACTAATTATAAAAGCTGTGATGTAAGAATTTGATATGGATTTATAGAAATAAAAGTATGGTGTATAATCTGTTACTTATTATAATGCAAATGTGTCTTTAATGAATTGAGAAAGTATTTTACAAAAATTAACATTTTTTAATAAATGAAAAAATTTGTCCTATGTAAATAATTTTACTGATTATCGTTGATTATAAACAACAATTCCAACCTAATGCCCTCGAACGCTTGTTTTTTCATGGCTACCATGTGATTGAGCTCGTGGGTGAATTGAGCCGCGTACATCTTTTTTTTGGCACGCAGACGTCGTCGACACACGTTGTCGCTGTTGGAAAGCAGTCAACCATTAATTGTCATAAATTTCGAATGACTTTTCATAGTCAATACTTACTACAGTAAGCTGCGGAGTCCACTGTAGCTCGGATTCAACGACGTGGCGGACAGTTCATTTTTCGGGCGAATCTTCTTCTTGCTCACTACCTCGCTCATGATTTTGATAAAGTCAAAAATAAAAAAGTCGAAAGTATCTCGAGCTTATACGCGGAGCTTCGACGTAGTTCACTCGGCAGATTTTCGTTCTCGAATGAGCTCGCAGTCGACGCTATAGCACAGAAACTACGAGAAAAGAAAAGAAAAAAAGAAGCTCGTCGCGTGCAGCGGAAAGGAATCATTTAGAGCTTATCCTGTTAGTTATATAGTGTGTACGTATAAGTGAGAAAAATGCAGCTGCACCACTGGCGCGCGCGTGACTGCGAGTATATATATAATACTTTTTTTTTTATCGATTTAGCTGCGAGGACTAAACGATTTTTTTTTTGCTGCGATACGAGGGTAAGTATATATGATTGCGCTTCGTCCAGGCCGGGTTAACGCGTGATAAATTGCTGTAGAGGGAAAATTTTCGAAATCCGCTCTCGAATCGACCAATGATCGGCCCCCCTCGATAAACTTTTTCTTGGACTGGTTCATTAATGCTTGCAAGTTTGCTGAAAATTAAATCGGGCGACTTGATTTAGAATATAATACACATAAGTTTTAGGAGCCAAACAGCTTCGGCTCTATACATCCGCCTGGATAGATGGCTCCCGCGCGGAGAAAACTTCTGACTTATCCAAGGACTGAAGTTTGTACGAAATAGGGGCGCAAGCTCGGCTCGCTTCGTCACGCACGGAATTATTTGAAATAAGGTCAGCTTTTATATGGTATATAGTATAGCGCGCGCTGCGAGTGAATATTTGTAAATTGAAGCAATTCAGATAAACGAGTCGCTTTTCTTCCTCCCCATTTTCTTGGCGTCGTCTGGGAAAAGCGACGCAAATCTGACACGAGCGAGCGCTTGAAAATTTCACTCGATCTTTGGAGTATGCCGACAGTTCAATCAGATGTAAGTGTTCGAATATTAGAATCGTGCGATTATGCACGAGTACGCTCATCGATGATTGTGCAAATAACGATGATTTTGAGTCTATAAGAAGTACGACAATTAAAATAAAATTCATCGATTTAATACTTTTCAGACGATTGAATTTAATAGTAGAAAAACGATGCATGAAATTCTCAACATCAATTATGGCCTAGTGACCAAAAGATAACCATTTAAAATTTTTTAAAGTACATAATCATTAATTGACTTATTTCAGATGATTTTTCTGTCCCAATTATGTTATAAATCTTGAGGAGCATTTTAATTGACTTTAAAATAACCATTTGATTGTTTCATAAAATTTAAATCACTTTCCACTTTAAATTCGCTAATACCACATTCAATCTCCACCACTAGATGGCGAGTGCCAAATTTTCTTCAATCTGCAAGTGGCAAAGTGCGTAAAATTGTATAAGTACCTTACAATCTAAATATATCCATATCATCCATATCATTTGGCACGAAAAACAAACAAGTTTTTTGGCCGCTATGCAAAGCTCTTGTTAATACGTTTCGATTTCTCGACGCCAATGTGTATAATCCAATGCTGACTCGTCGCTCACAGTCAAATATACGCACAAATAAAGGCAACGCGAATTGATACCGGCATTACTAAAGTTCACGACGCAGGACAATAATATTTGATATCACTGTTGTAATAATCACTGATGCACACAGACGCGTCCATCTCGCAGTTTAATAACGGAAAATGGGGGAAATGCCAGGCACGCTCGTTTCCAAAGGTATAATACAGATACGCGCGTACCTCATAAATTGCATAATGCCAAATCAAAGTTGGCGTTGATGTTAATCGATAAGGGAGAGAGAGAGAGAGAGAGAGAGAGAGAGAGAGAGAGAGAGATGAGAGTCGAAGGCTGCGTGAATGAGCTCGACGTATCCACGGACAATGTCTGTCCGTGTGTGTGTGTGCAGTATTATTGAAATAACGTTGCAGCCAGACGTAACGGGCGATGTGCAGTCGGTGCCGCCCACGCACTCGTCGATAACGGCCGCAGCGCGAGGCAGCTAAATAAATGATTCCTATCGTACGTACACGTATAGGTACATACATACATACAACGCGTCGCGGCTGCAACATCGATGTGCTCGTTTACCTTCGTTGTCGCGCGCGCGCCAGCCCGTATGCGATGATGCGAAAACTTATACATGCATCGACGCGTATCGCAAACCTCGATGCGTTGACACGTTCGCCCCGTCCTGTCGTCTTGCCCTCTCAACGCGGTTTTGCAGAGCCGCGAGAGTCGATTTTTTATGGTAGAAATGTTCAACGTCAATAATAGCCTATAGTAACCAAAAAATAACCATTAATTATTTTTTCAAAATAAGTTCGTGTTAATTGGATTGTTTCTGTAACGATTTATTTAAAAATTATAAACGTGCCAATTGAAATGATTTGTAAAATGACAATGTAATCGTTTCAACAAATTTAGACCAATTTTCAACTGCCTCGAATACGATAATATGACTTTAAGCCCCACCGCTAGATGGCGAGCACCTTTATCTAAGAATCTGCAAGTGGCAAAGGCAAAACAAGTGTATATAATATATTTCTGTGACAAACAATGTTGTATTAAATACCACCTTAAGAGGTTATGAAGTTCCTAAACTTTTGCAGAGATTGCGGATGAGTCCTAAAATCATAGGCATTTCTGCTTTTGCACGCACCGGTCAAGTCTGTTCAAACTTTGTTACGGACCTGCAATGCCAAATTGAACCGACAATGAAAACCGGGGCTTTCCTAATCATTTCGAGCCATTTGCGCCATGAGAAAGTATCTCATTGCGGCGCGAGAGCCAAAAAAAAAGATTCGATAGAAAATCAGCGCGTCGATATAGGATAAACAATTGATGCGAGTGAATAATCGAAGACGAGCACATGCTTGAATTTATTGACAGCCGACAGGTCTGGAGTTGTATATTTGCGCGGCTGCAATACATGTATATAGATTCTAGTCTACTGCGAGCGATACATACACCTACACAGACGCCGTGACTCGCGCGTAATATATAATACACATCATCGCTCCTTTTTCGACGTATACATCGATAGTCCAAATACGCTTATGTACGCTACATAGATTTTTGGCTCGGATCGCGCCACGAGAGAAGCTTACCGAGAGTATGTGTGTGTGTGTGTGGATATGTATACGTTTGTCTAAGAATCGTGTGCGGGCGGGGGCGTGTGCCGCATTATAATACATATAAAAGTCAGTCGTGCGCCGCTCAGCTGATCGAGCCGAGCTGCACATATCTCCGAGTCCGAGTTACGATTACGTTTATTAAATAGTCTTATATATAGTTATTTTTGTTTTCAACTGCCTTTTAAAATAATGAAATTCGACGTTATTAGTAACTGATGCTATTTTGAGAAATATTTCATAAATATATCCTCGTCGAACAATTACTCAACCTAATGCACTCGGGGTAAATATAACTTTATTCTTTTATACAATACTTTTTTTTTATAAGGATGTAAAATATCGTACACTTTTGTGATGGAGATTTTCGAGTCGACGCTTTTACATTTTTCATTTGGTTTTCTCTTATCGTTTGAAGTAATAAATACATCATCTCCATTACTTGATAGCTGTACAGAAATGTATTAAATTAAACTACTAAATTTAATCAACACTTTTTTTCCACAGCGAGGTCATGGTTGAGTGCATGCATTTTTTAAGCTCCTCATACTTTTTACTTTCGACTGTCAAATAAATGAAAAATAATCTTTTTTTTTTTAATTAAATTGTTTTTGCGTTGATGAAAATTTTCATTGTAAGTAAATCGAAATAATTAAACGCACATCAACCGAACTAATTTTTAAATTAAAAAATCAATTCATTATTTTGTCGGTTTTTGCTTTGAAAATTTAGTACTTATAGCGCATACAATTTCGAAAAAATGTCTAAATTTTCGTTCGCGTTCATCAATCGTTAACAGAAAATCATTAAAATAACTACAATGCGAGCAAAAATCTCGAAATCAAGGAATCCTCTACCAGAAACGTTTGTATAGCATTCCCTTTATTGAGCCATATAAAACGGCGAACGTTAAAATATTTCTCGTACTACGCGTGAAAATTTACATACGAACTTTAGCCGGTTGGTATACGGCTCGTACTGCCTCGCGTGAATTTTAATACGCCACCCACGTTCCGTCGTTCGAAACAGTGGCATAAACAAATCTAATAGCGTTAATGAACGCGCTTCATACATACTAACGAGCGTACGAGCACGAGCCACGAGTTTCGAATGTCGGAAAGGTACCGAACTTTACTCTACAACGATGCCTTCACGGGTCACCACTCGCGCGTCGATCGGAATCGCGGCAATAAATCCGAAGACGCGAGCAATCGCCTCGAGCACGCGAATCGATGGGCATTAACGGCGGCTCTATCGTCTTAAATGACACACGAGTCGTACGCGCGTAATTTGTTTATCGCGAGCTCGTTCGAGAATCAAAGCAAAATATTTGAAAAGCGATAAATGGCAATCCAAAGTGTAAAATCGATACGAATCAGAGTCTCTCTTTTAACTTCTGCTCGAATAATCGTCGGCGTAATTAAAGAGCGAATGCATTAATCGGAGCTTGGCGCGAGCGAGGCGATCGTTTCATCATTTTGCCTGGAAAAAGGATATCATATATACAAGCACACGCATATCTCTCTCGGTTATATGGGTGAGCGAAAACGAGGAGGGAGAGCAGAGAGAGGAGGGCGAGAGGAAATCCAAGCAAGGCTATCCTCCGCCTGGCCTTGTCGAAGGCTGATGTCAAGGTCGTTATAGCTCGCGAGCCTAGCGCACCGTCGCCGTCGCCGTCGTCGTCATCGCATATATAACACACACACCACAGGCTGAACTGCAGCTGACTCGTATCACTTTTTTGTCGTATAATATGAGCTCACTTGGAATTACATAGCACACACACATCATGTCAATCGACATTCCGCATAAACATTCTTCGGCTCTCACTCTCTCTCTCATGTGCTATTTCATTGTTTTGCTTTTTTCGCGGCGATTCTTTTAATTTTCCTAGGGAATCCGTCAAGGTTGAAAGTATCGAGTTTTCGTTGCCATGTGTCTCTCGCGGTTGGAAAAAGTCTATACGAAAACGCGAGCGCGTGAATTCAAATCACGCGCATAACATCTTTCCGACGATTCGATTCCACTTAGCATATTTGTAATGAAAAATACTTTTACGGAGTAAATAAAATATTACGCAGTTCTGCACTTTCATTATCCAGCGGAACGAAAATGCTGCAACGATCTTTTCTTTATTGAGATTTATGGCCGCGATAACATTTTTTAGCGCTAGAGAAAAATGAACTTTGGATCAACTGGTGTAAGCAATATTTTTTCACGTTACGTAATGTATTTCTTTATAAAATTTTTATCTTCGAATTTAAAAAAAGTAAATAGGCAAGTGTCAGTCATCGCCGTTTTCATTACAAAAAAAAAGCTAGAATTGACGCTCTATCGCTCGAGTTAGGAAAAATTAATCGAAATAGAAGTCAGTCAGAAAGTCGATCGTCGCGTTTCGCTGCGAACTCCGCTATCCACTTGCAGTTTTACTTTTTTTTTTTAATTTACTTGACGACAAATGCCGCTGTCATCGAAAACAAAAGACAACATTTCACGAACGAATGTTGGCTGGTTTCATCCCTGTTGCTGTGTATATCTCGCTCTCTCCAAGCGAGAGAAAAATTTCGATTTTTTTCAAATTCTTTGTGGGGACTCGAGCTTGATGACACGTAAACAAAGCTCTGTTTACGTGGCATATAATTGAATTCATCCAGCAAATATGAGCGACCTAAATTTTTTTTCGCAAAATTAATGAGCTCTCTCTCTCTCTCTCTCTCTCTCTCTTTCTCACTCGAGTGGTGAATTGTTTTTTTCTTCTATTTATAATATTTTCAGACGTCTCGACTTTGCGATCGAGTAAGTTCATTTTTTCTTCAAATTAACTGTACTATTTACCTTTTGTAAAGCGTAGTTCAAGCCCGAGCTATTATTAAGAAAGTTAATAACTAACGGTAAGACTCGAAGTGGGCTCGATTCGGGGGCGCTGCCGCGAACAACAGCAGCAGGCCTCGTATCGTGCCAATGAGCCAGTTGATCGCCGAGAGATAGCTCGCATTAAATAGCACTCGAACGCGGCCGAGCTTTGTATATACGTATAGAGCAAAAGTTGCCCGACAGCAACCAACTCCTCGTGGGCTCGCTCGCGGTGCAAATTTTCCTCGCCACTATCGACCCGAGTCAGCTGTTTGGCGTTTCCTTTTTTTTCTCTTCTCCCCCCGTTATAAATGGCAAATATTTTGCGTAGGGTCCGCGAGTAAGGTCAGCAACGAGCTTCAATGAAATTTGAAAGAACGTCGATTTGAAAGTTAAAGCTAAGATAGCTGCGAACGTAAAAGCTCGACTCGATTACATACGGATAAAATTCAATATCACTCGTAATATACAGACGATGCGGGCACATTATTTGGACAGTCTTAAGAAAATCGTCGCTGTTTTAGGCGCTCGGCCTGCGAAGAAGTCAAATAGAGAGTGGAAAAATGGAGCGCAGATAAGCACACACGCGAGCATGAGCAGAAGAAGCGAGCTCGGCGGCGCACGAGTTTAGGGGTGCAGCAGCAGCAGCAGCAGCAGCACGACGCACGGCAGCGGGGGGTGCCAAAGCACAGCAGCAACAGCAGTAATAGTAGTAGCAGAAGCAGCAGCAGCAGCAGCGCCAGTGAGCGATAGTAGCGTCGGGTAGTATAATAGATAGCTCGTGTTCGCGTCGGGGGTAGCTCGGCACTCGTGTATCTCGAGTCTCGGCTGACTGGCTGCGGCCGCTCGACACAACGCACACACAGCTCGTTGCATCGCAGTCGTCGTCGTCGTCGTCGTCGTTGTCGCGTACCTCCGATAGTACCCGAGAAGGGCCACGAGAGTCAACAGAAAAACATCATCGTCCTCAGTAGCAGCAGCAGCAGCAGCATCAACAACAACAGTAGTGGTTTCGAACAACGATGGCCAGCACTGATATGACCAGTGAAACTCGTCACAGGTTTGTTTATTATGCACGAATGCACGTAGACACACTCGCACAGACACCCGCACGTGTTGTTGTAACGCAGATTCGTACAGAGAGAAGAGAGAGAGACGCGTTACAATATAGACTCACTCGCTCGTAAATAGACTGTTCGTCCTACGCTCAGCTCGAGGCGTGCAGCTGACGATGCAGCCCGCTGCAAGCTCGCACGAGTACATTGCACGAGGTGGGCAACGCAAACTCACTATATAGTATATAATATATAGTATAACGATATATATTTATAGTATACGTAGAGGGAGAGAAAAGCTCTCGGGGGTATATATCGATGGCACGTATACGAAGGGGGAAGCGAGCTTTTACTCGCCTCGTGTTTGTGTTGCTTTCGTATACGCATACACATGCATGCATGCTCGAGAGAGAGAGAGTTGCTGCTGCGATAGCCCATAGCACTGCACACTGTGTATACACACATGTAGGCGTCGTCAGCTGGCTGCTGCAGCCGGAGGATATATGCGGGCGATCGTGCCTAGTCAAGGGCAGTCTCCCTCTCTTTCTCTCTCGGATCGCGACAGAATAAAGCTCTCTCGCACAACACTTTCGCGTATAGTGCATTCAGCAGCCGATTGGACGTCGCTATAGCCACCTACCGCTCTTACGTATACGTAGCTCGAATCTCTTTCTCTCTCTCTCTTCTGTGTACACAAGCATCGTCGACGTCTCTGTGAATGATAATTCAACGGCACCGCGATGTGAAGCTCGCGCTGCAGCAGTCGTCGCGTCCAGCGCGATCCGGACAAAGCTCTGCTTGGCAGCTTGCGGCCCGTGTAACAGTGCGCGTATCGTAAAATAATAATCGAGTCGTGCCTTTTTTCTTTCCGTCTCGTCGTCCAGTGATCTCCACTCTGTCTCTTGCTCCAACTCGTGTAACAATTTTATACATTATATATATTGGACGTTCGATCGGTCGCGATTCGTGCGTCGTACTACACACGCGTGCTGCTGCTGCCTTATGTGCCGCGCGTTGTTGTGCGAGCTGTCACAGCTGTTGAGCTTTCGCTCCTCGTTCTTTTGCATTCGACGTGCGTCTCTCGTCATTTAGTGCTTGTATCGATGTTTCCTCCTCGACGCTGTCGCGATCCAATCGCGTAACGACGAATTTCAACCGTCGGATATGTGAGGGTAAATATGAAAACTTATTTATTAACTTTTTCTCGCATCGTTCGACGACTTTTATTTTATTCCTCGTTTACTTTCATTGGATTGACAATTTCTGCTTCGTCTCTTTTTTTTTTGCTCGACGTTATAAACGAATTCCCATCGTCGTCGAGAGTAAATCTCGCTCGCGTCTGGAAGAGCGCCTAAACGTATATTCGAGAGAAAAAAAATTGAATTTATTGGAAAAGTTGGAAACTTTCCGATATATCGGTGCGGAGAGCTTGATAGATTCATAAAAATAAAACCTTGTGCAACGTGTAACGACAAAAAAAAAAGAGGGAACTAGACTGAATATTCTAAAGCGTAGAACGAGAAGCCGTACGCGGAAAAAGGGTTAGCGAGTCAATTCCAAGTTCAAACAACTGATTTGTAATTGTCACGACATTTTTATGAATTAATTTGTTCCTCGAACGACACACACTCACACGCACAGTTTGTATTCTCATTTTTTGTAATAATCAATTTAATGTTCACGTTTTGTGTAACAACGTGTCCCGACGCATATCGAATGGAACCTTTCGGTTTATTCTTGTCGCACAGAGCTTTTATATGATTTCTCGACAATGCATGGCAGAGCTTTTGATCGTTGCAAAACGTAACGAGTTTTTCTTTTTGTTTCGCGTGTATTATTTGAGCTTTAGAGGGTACATTACTCGCTTTAATGAGGTAATTAAACTCGATCGTACTTATTCAAAGAGTTACATTGAATTTTTTTAATTAAACGTTGTATAAAATTATATGTATAAAACTTTGTCGTGAATTAATAATTATAATATTTTTTCCGATAATAAGAACTCGCAACAACTTTTATATTCGGTATATAATGAGGCAAAAAAGGCCGATCGCTTGATTAATTCGTAGATCAATAACTCATCAAAGTTCAAGAGTAACGTTGCTACACTCCAAAATCCTTCGCCGAGCTTAGAGATGCAGAGAGAAAGAGAGAGAGAGGGAAGAGGAGTGTTTACTTGCATTTTCCGTGCTAATGATTAGATGCTTGCTTCGCGTGTGTACCTATCAAAGGCATATGTTGTAATTACGCCGCATACTTGCGGATGAGTGCGGCTCCGTTATAATAATATACTCGAAAGCTCGGCGGAGTCGCTTATCCGAGCAATTTGCCGATGGGGTAATTACGTCTATTCTAACGCGCGGAATCGCTCGCAAGTACAAATGTGGAAACTATTCCAATTACTCGAATCCCCAGACACGCTCGAGTCAAAGCAGCTATCACCGCGCGCATACAAGTAAAGTAACAAAAGAAAGGAGTATAACGTGGTAATTTGTGTGCTTTGCAGAACGAGTCTGCCGGTGCGTGGCCACTCGGAAGTCAATCTCTGCTCGGTCCTGTCGCTGGGCAAGGACCTCAGCAAAATCACGATGCCGGTGATCTTCAACGAGCCGCTGTCGTTTCTTCAGCGAGTCGCCGAGTACATGGAGTACGCCAAGCTGCTCAAGCTCGCGGCCGAGCAGACAAGTCCAGTAGCACGATTACAGGTACATGTAATAACGAAACGTTCTTCGCACGAGCTTTTTGCCTTTGTAGTAGTACGTTGTATCGACAAAATTAGTTTTATACTACGAACGCGTGGGCGTGGGATAAGCTGCATTTAAGCGGGGGCGTTTTTGAAAGCACGCGTCAGCTCGTGTATATACGATACGTATATATAAAGCTCCGACTGCAAAGAGAGCAACGTTCATGAAAAGTGCGGGTGAATTCTATTCATAAAAGTACCGACGCCGTGTGTACGCGCGTAGCTTCCATTATTATATAGATCGCTGAGAGCGATTTCTTTGTCTCAAGCTCTCACCCCCTCCCTTCTTTTCATCCGTCGCGTTGCCTCGCGGGCTTTGAGTCGAGCTTTTATGCCACGTACTATGTACGGCGCGGCTTTGTGCGCTGACACACGCGCGGTAATACTGATACGCGTCCGCGGTGAAACGTATCGTGTCGCGCGCGGACGGTCGACTTTCACGTATTTACGCGCAAAGATCGAAATTCAGCGGGCAAAGTATCCCGCGATGAAAATCGAGCATTTACAGCGTCTGCGATGATGCGAGAGATTCGACCTTGACGCTCGTCAAGCATATCGATGCGTAAAGGTATTCTGAAGTTTTTAGCAATTGTTTGTATGTGAAACTAATTTTATAAAGCCACATTTTTAATGCTCACCGAAAGATTTTCGATCGCGGGTAAAATGACTTTTCGGTCGCCCGATCGAAAAGCTCGAGCGAAATGAAGTCGAGAGCGGATTACGAGATTCGCGGGTCGGGCGCATTCGAACGCGCGTCTACTGTGCGAATCAGCAAGAACACACGGCTCTCTCGCTTTTATTTGAAAAACATCATGTCCGCCATTGTGTATACGTGTGTCTGTGTCTGCGTGTTTTCCAGTACGTGTCAGCGTTCGCCGTGAGCGCCTTGGCGTCTAATTGGGAGCGGCTGGGAAAGCCTTTCAATCCGCTGCTCGGCGAGACGTACGAGCTCCAGCGGGAAGATTTTCGGTAAGCGCCGTCGAGCTTTTTCACTCTACTATATAGATAGTAAACTCGAATTTTTTAAAAGCTCACGAAATTCAATTGATGGCACTTCCATTATGTAAGTTGTAATGTCTTTCTCTCTTGACTTTACAGCATAATATGCGAGCAAGTATCTCATCACCCGCCGATATCGGCGTTTCACGCCGACAGCGAGGATTTCATTTTTCACGGCAGCATACACCCGAAGCTCAAGTTCTGGGGAAAATCAATAGAAATACATCCCAAAGGCATGGTCACGGTTGAATTGCCAAAGTCAGTTTATACTTCATATTATACTAGCATGTTTTCGGGATTTTTCGGGTAGAAAAAAACAAGCGAGTTATTTACAATAAAAGATTTAAGTTTAATTCGGATTTAACGCATAATCAGATATCAATATTAAATTTACCCATAATGAACTTTACTTTCGGTACTTTTACTCAAAATCCTCGTTTAAGATTAATGCAACGGTACTGGTTTAATTTTTTATATAAACTGCACAAAAATGCATGAAAATGTTGTCAAAATATTTTTTAATAAAAAAAAATGAACAATATGGATTTAATTCTATACTCGAATAAAAAAATTTCATTTGGAAATGAATGTTTTAATACTGATTGAGTTTTTGCGTTGATTGTACAAAAAACGAAAATTCAATTATAACTAAAGCCAACCTTCACCGCTAGATGGCGAGTGCCTATATATCAAAAAATCTGCAAGTGACAATGTAGAAATGATTGTATAAGTCAAAGAAAACAAAATGTGTAAGTGATATAGAAGCAAAATTGGATAATGTGGTCTTGATAGAAAAAAGTTTCTTTTTTTTCACGCAATATTTGTAGTTCATCGAAAAAATGACTCGTTAATTCGCAACGTAGCTCATTTTAATGCACAAATTATCCAAAAATGTTAATTCTCTCCACAGATGGAAGGAATCGTACGTCTGGCAAAATGTCAATTGTATTTTACACAACGTGCTGGTCGGCCAGATCTGGATGGAGCAATTAGGCGTATTGGAAATCCGTCAGTACGGTGGCGCAAATCTCAAGGCGGAGTTGTCCTTCAAAAGCGCGGGCTGGAACAACAAAGATCTGCACAGAGTCGAAGGCTTCATTGTCGATCAGGAGTGAGTCATCGATCCGTTTTCACAATTATCCGATATTTTATCTCGTAACGGATTCGATTGTGGATTTGAAAATAATCTCGTTCGCCTTATTGCCCCACGCAGACGCAAACGACTGGCCTACCTCTACGGCAAATGGACCGAGCGCTTGAAGGCGTGCGAAATGGCGGCTTACGAGGAGACGATTGAGAGGATAAAGAGGGAAAACAAAAGTCCACAGAACAGTCCGGGCCACAAGAAGGTCCTGGCCAGGCTGCACAGTCTCAAGGTCGGGGCGTTCAAGGGCTCGCATCAGGACTCGGTCGACGAGGCGAGAGACGATCTCGAGGCGGAGGGTCTCACGATCGACGACATACCCGGTGCTACCCTCTTGTGGGAGGTCACTCCTCGGCCCTCCAATTGCTCGGACGTACGTCGTCATACTTTTTTTTCGAATTTTTAATGCACAAAAGTAATCGTGACATTTTTTCCCTTCTCTAGTATTATCAATTTACGACGTTCGCCATGTCACTGAACGAGATGGAACAGAACATGCGAGAGAGCATGTGCCCGACGGACTCCCGATTGAGGCCCGACGTGCGCAAGCTCGAAAACGGAGATCACGACGGGGCCGCGGCCGAGAAAACGAGACTCGAGGAAAAGCAGCGCGATTGCCGCAAGAGTAAAAAACACAAGAAAAACTCCACCGAGTACGTCCCGAGGTGAGTGTATATTTCAAACAAAACGGTATCGAACGTTACGACGTTTTTTTTCTTCAATCGAAATCGTTATACTTTCTCGCAGATGGTTTCAACGGTGCATACACCCCCACACGGGCTTGGAGGACTGGGCATATCAAGGCGGATACTGGGATCGCAACTACAGCGAGATCGAGGAGTTATTTTAAAACTTTCGTCTCGCGAGTACTTGTAGTATACCGCGAATCGGTTCTTTTCTCTGTTAGTCAAGTCAATGGACTCGATCGTACGGCGACGAGGCTGTCTCTGTCCCTTTGATACTTCGTCAAGTACCGAGGCTCTAAATAGATGCGTTTATTTTCGTTTCGAATGCGAATATTATTAGTTTACAAATCGAGTGATATCGTATAGTGAAGTAAGGATTCACCGTGTGAATGTAGAAAATTGTGCGTACCAAGAGTGTTCTCGCGGGTAGTATACTTTAGTGAAATCAAACCTGTGTTTGTATGAATATACTTTTCCAATGCTTGAATTGTTCGGGTATGAAAATATAAAAATTTCTTAGAGACATCGTGTGTGTAGCGGAAAAAGTCTTTGGAACAATATTTTTCTTTTGTTTAACTGTAATTTTGCAACTGCAGCCATTTGCATTGTACAGTTGAAAGTCAATACTGATTGTTTACTCGTCATTGAAGATATCGGAAAATCATAGAATAATGAAATTCTTCCGCGCCTAGGTCTCTTTCGTCTATGCGATTAATGATTTCAATAGGAAAAAAAAACTTGATAGAAAATGCGAGGAATGAAAGTTTTACTCGATCGTATAAATAATTTTGACTATTGAATATACTATGTATATACTAGGATATAAAAATGAATGTTAATAAGAAATTAGTTCGAAGTTCAATTCAATTTCATTGTTGTTAAATGACAAACGATCTCAGAAACTTTTTACATTCGGCGACATAACGACAACACTTCAATTTGTAAAATACATTGGTAAATAATAGAGTCTTCCAATTTCTGATCAATTACAAAATTATTACTTTTCGTGGATAATCATTTATGATCGATGAAAAAATTATGTTCATCAAAGAAATTCATAATTATAACTATACACACGGTCAACTTTCGATCAACATGATTTTAAGATTTATGCATGATTTAGCATTCATTTTTAATTTCTGCTTGAATATTCAAAGTAGCCTCGATTGAAAATTATCAATTACTAATGCGAAAGAAGTACATTTTTATAATTTACGTGAGCGCATCAAAGATATCGATAAACTTAGTGCGATAAGTTATAAAACTGGAATGCCTTGCAATTATGATGCAACGAGAAAACAAAATTTAGCGTATTTTAAAATTTGTTAATCGAATCGCGTTCATTCGTTCCTGCGAAATAACTTCCAAAGCATCATACCAAAGAAAGTCACTTTTACAAAAAAAAAATGGGGAAAAAAATGAAACAAAAAAATATATACTGTACACGTACGCAACAGATTTAACAGAGTATTACGATTTTAATACATAATATATTCATAAGTACACTTTAAGACGCTGTTGCATTATACAATATACATACAACTATGTCTTGTAATATAAGTAACTATATATATTTATCTCGAACGAGCACCTCAAAGGCGGGAGTAACCTAGCGAAGTCTTCAGAAATATATTTATGTGAGTTAAGCAAACGGGCCCTTCGACAAGACTTATATGGCATAAATAGCTTAGTCATTTAAACTGCATTATTTGGTAATGTCCTTTTAAAAAGTCTGATTCGTAGAAATTTTATTAGACGATTTCGTTTCAATGTAATCAAGTACACACGCGCCATTTGATAACATGAAATTCTACAAATTTTACGCGAACTTTGAGCTCGTTTCAAGGAGACAATTTGCCAGTCTATACACTTTTACCACGCGTATGCGAAAATTAATATCAGCGGTCCGCGATCTTTTTATAACGCGTATTATACATATACTTTTTTCTGGGCGCGCATTGATTTCAACTCGACTCGACTCTATATACATGCCGTCATTTTCTGAAGCGACAAATATTTTCGAATGCGTAATATTTCTGTCGATTAAACCGAAGAACAATCAAAAATGTCAATGATTTGTTTGTATACAAGAATTTTCTATTGCTATTAAGACATATACCAGTTTGGCTGCAATTGGAATTATTGGAATTATTGGAGGAAAAATACATAGTCGAGCAAGTTATTTGTTTGATAAAAAAAAAACGGAAAAAAAGAAATCATAAACAATAGCAGCGAGAGATCTGCGTTCTATACTTTCCACGCGCAGCGCTGGACTCACAATGCTATATTTACACACATACACGTATGGAAATTTGTGCGCGTTCGCTTGTACAAAATCCTGTAAAATACATACCGGACGAGGCAGCTACATAAAAAATTTGTAAGTCAAGCTGAAAGCGGGTAACGATCGTCGGTTCGGTATACCGGCAATTCTGTCGACGAGATATTTATAAGTATAATGCTTGCAACAACGGGAGCGATATCTTACAAAAGTTGCCGAGCGCTCGAGTTATTTAGACGCATTCTGAAAAAAAGTAGCCTTAATCTGGATTTGTACGTATACGTATGGCAAGCGCGGAAAGAGCGTGAGTTTAGAATGGATTTTTAGACTCGCGTCCAGCAATTATGCTCGCGAAGCTGTTGGCAGTGACGAAACGAGAGAGTTTGTTAATGTATAGAGATAATAGCAAAATTATTAATAATTACGAAGAAAAAAAAAACAAAGAAAAAAAAAAATAGTTTCGCTGTGCGAACCACCTTAGGGTTAGACATCCTATGTAGACCGTAGATGATTGTATAATTAATTCTTGTAATAATGTGATGTTTATTAATGATCATCAACGATACGATGCAGTATTACTTTGATATTTATAGATATAGCAGTATACATAATTATAAAAAGGCCATGCTAGTCCTGGTAAATAAATTTTGCTGTAAGCAGTGAAAATTCGTCAAAAAGAAATTCACGATACTCCGATCAGTGTGTACTTTTTTTAATCGCCAACATCTGTAATCCTTTTTACACGACATACATGTAGCGTTAAATAAAAAGAAATGAGTTTGCTTACGTATATATTTAGGCCACCGTTGGTTTAATTCAAAAAGCGACGTTGATCGTCGCTAAGCATCTCTTTAGGCAGTCGAAAAATTACTAACGACATGTGTTCAACTGTGTCCAAGGTTCATTATCATTACGCAGTCGTCCGATATGTCACGCAAACGCATAATATGCTATTATCTCAGAGTGAGAACTAGTCAGAGAATTTCCGTTTATCAATTACGTTCTGATCGCAAATGATCAGTCATTGGCAATCCACGACATTATCTTTAATTTTGCTCTTTAGCAGCGAATTTCTTGCTAGAAATTACAACACGTGTAACTGAAATATAAAGGCAGAATAAAACAAAATCGTTGATAGACTATGCAACTTGTGTTTTACAATTAATTTCAACATATGTTTTTTAGTTTCTCTATAGCTCAAAAGAATTCGCCATTAGATGTCTGCGGTGGTATCCCGTAATAAGAGGTCTGCTAATATTTGTATAAAATCTTTGTTTCCATTGACGGATTATAGTCTTTTCGCAAACTTTTATTTGGCCCTCGCGCAATTCGAATATAAGTAATTAATGAGAAAATCATAAAAGTAATTATGAAACCTTTTACTATAGTTTTTAAAAAATGTAAAAAATGCTTTTAGTTATTATTAAATTATTAAACTAATTCCGAGTTTGTTTTTTTCGGTAAAAACTTATTGTTATTACCAATCACGTCTCTCCTAGCACAAATAATCGGTTCGTCAGGTAATTCGTCAAAAGCTTTCACTGCATGAGGTTTATCAAAAATTCAGTAGCCAACCAAGAGTTTGACCCTTTCGCGACTCCAAATAAGATGTGAAAAAAACAGTCGGACGATCTAATCGTTGCGTAAATAGCTGCAGGAACCAAGTCCCTTGTAAAAACATGAGCGAAGATTATATAAGTAATTAATAGTACGCGAAATTTAAAGACAGTGAAAAAAGGTGTGATGATAGTTGATATCAGGTAAGACTTAATCATTTTGGCAAAAGTTTTATTAAAATTGTAAAGAAACATATCTATTGTATGTAAAAATATTGTATGTAAAAATATCTATACATATTTACAATTGTCAATTATCATTTATTCGAACATTTGCCACATACCTAACCTTTGCGACTTTTATGAACTCTTGGTGCCTGATTTTTTTTGGGTTTTATCATATTGCTTTTATCACAAAATTTTTTCTCGTACTTGTCACATTTGTAATCTTTGCAACCTTCATGGACTGCTCAAATCTCTGCTGCCTTTGTGTGCTATTTTTTGATGTCTTATCAAACTGCTCTGATGCCCAAATTTTTTCTCGCATTCGTCACAGGGGTAATCTTTGCGACCTTCATGTACTGCCCTTTGGTGTTTGAGCAAATGTACTTTTTGTGTAAATTTCATTTCACACTTGTCGCATGAGAAATCTTTGCGGCCCTTGTGGACTGCACTTTGGTGTTTTTTTAAATTACTTGAATCCCCAAATTTCCTCTCGCATACTTCGCATGCATAATCTTTCCGACCTTCATGGACTGTTTTTTGGTGCCGGAACAAATCGTTTTTTTGTCCAAATTTTTTCTCGCAATTTTTGCATGCAAAATCTTTCCGACCCTCATGGACTGTTTTTTGATGGAAAAGCAAATTTACTTTTTGTCCGAATTTCTTTTCGCACTTGTCGCATGCGTAATCTTTGCGACTCTCGTGTACTGTGCTCTGATGGTCGATCAAATGATGTTTACGTCCAAATTTCTTCTTGCACCTGTCACATGCGAAATCTTTACGTCCCTCGTGGACTGCTCTTTGGTGATTTCTCAAATTGCTTGAATCCCCAAATTTCCTCTCGCATACTTCGCATGTATAGTCTTTGCAACCTTCATGAACCGTTTTTTGGTGCTGAATCAAAAACCATTTTACTCCAAATTTTTTTCCACACTTGTCACATGCAAAATCCTTGCAACCTTCATGTATAGTCCTTTGGTGAACGAGCAGAGTTGACTTGTGCCCAAATTTCTTTTTACACATGTCGCATGCAAAATCTTTCCGACCCTCATGGACTGTCCTTTGGTGCAAGAACAAATGCACTTTTTGTCCAAATTTCTTCTCACATTGGTCGCAAGCGTAATCTTTGCTACATTCGTGTACTGTCTTTTGGTGTCTTATTAAATTCCTTTGATTCCCAAAATTTTTTTCGCACTTATCACATGTAAAATCCTTGCGACCATCGTGAACTGTATTTTGGTGTCTTATCAATTCGCTTTGTTTCCCAAATTTTTTTTCGCATTTGTAACATGCGTGATCTTTTTGACCTTCGTGAACTGTCTTCAAATGAAAGCGCAAATATGATTTTTTCCTAAATTTTCCTTCGCACTTATCACATGTGAAATAATTGCAACACTCATGGACTGTCTTTATGTGCAAGAGTAAACTATTTTTCGCATCAAATCTCTTCGCGCACACTTCACATAAATAATTTTTGAAAACTTCGTGGAATATTTTGTTGTGCTTCAGTAAAGTTGATTTATTTTCAAATTCTTTCTCACACTTTTTGCACGTGAATTTTACTCGATCTTTATGAACTAACTTTTGATGCGCAAGCAAACTCGATTTTTTCACAAACTTTTTCTCGCATTTGTCACATGGAAAATCGTTGCACCCTTTATGTTCTGATACTTGATGTCTACTCAAATGACTTCGGAATGCAAATTTCTTCTCGCACTTGTTACATGAAAAATTTGGTCGTTCATTGTGAATTGTGTCTCGGTGCGTTATCATAATTGATTCTAGTGAAAATACCTCCTGGCAAATATCACGAACGTATTTTTTGTTGTTGTCCGAATTAACAACGTCATGTTTACGTAAATTGTCTTTCAAGACTACTTCCTCGGTTTTCTTCTCACTTTTATCCATTTCAGTTCTTTAATTAAATGATGGATTCTTCTTGTTAAGAAATTGAATAAGTAAAATTTATCTTTTGGTATTATGACTTGTTTCAACGGGGAAGACAACATTCAAACTAATTTACTTTCACTATGAACATGATTAGTGTTAGGGAACCTATTCCAAAATCGTGTATAATCATATTGTTTACAATTAAGGTAACGATTTATAAATTTATATGATGAAGTATATTGTTCTTAAAAACTTTGGGATATTTAAAATTCTAGCTTAACGTTGACTCTTTTGAATAATTTTCGTGTCCTTCTAAAACTAAGTACTTATCAAAAAAACTTTTAACGATGTAATGTCGAGTGAATCGATTTTTTTAGGCATGTATACGAATTAAAATAAGTAAATAAATTGGCCTTCTCCACGGCATGACACGAGGGCAGCGTCTCCCAGGAGTCTTATCTCTATGGGTATCCCTGCGAAAAGCGAAAATTGTATAGTTACATAATATTTTATTGGTGCCTTCAACCCCAAGTTGCGAATCTGCTTCTCCTTTCCATATCAAGCAATTGTTTGTTCGTGACGCGTTAAACATGTCTTGATACAGCATATGGTAGGAACTTGTGACACTGATTCATAAGGCCGATGACATAAGCTCGACTCGGATCAACAGAATTGGATAAAGATTGACCATGACAATGAATAAAGATCTGATAATGGTGAATATCACACGATTCAAGTAAATCATAATTTTATTGGCACAATTTTTATTGAAATTTTAGGAAAACATCTACATAAGTATTTACACCTACTTACAACAGTCAAGAAAAAAATCATCGCTTTTCATTAGTTCACTGATGAGATATACGCTATTTTTTGAGGAACTAAGCCAAGCAATTATTCATGAAGGGTATCAAGACTGGATTATCATCCGGTGTAAAATTGGATGTAATTGCGCATATTTTCCATTATGAGAAAAAAAGGTGGTTTTGTGAATTTTATAAACTGCTTTTCACTGTCAACTCAAATTCGATGAATGTACACAAAATCTTAATGGTCTTTGGGAACTGTCGCTTGGTGCTTCAAAAAATCTGATTTACTTCCAAATTTCCTCTCACTCTCGTCGCATGAGTAATCTTTGAGGTCTTTGTGTACTGTCTTTTGGTGTCGTAGCAAATTGCTTTGTATCCCAAATTGTTTTTCGCATTTATTGCATTCGTAATCTTTGCAACCTTCATGGACTGTTTTTTGGTGTCTAAGCAAGTTCTGTTTTTTACCAAATTTCTTCCCGCACTTGTCGCAAGCATAATCTTTTCGATCTTTGTGTACCGTCTCTAAGTGGGTGAGCAAACTAGGTTTTTGAGTAAACTTCTTCTCGCACTTATTACATGCGAAATCTTTGCGACCTTCGTGTACTGTCTTCAAGTGCAAGAACAAATAAGTTTTAAGTCCAAATTTCTTGTCACACTTGTCACATGCAAAATCTTTGCGACCATCATGTACTGTCCTTTGGTGGACAAGCCAATGGTGTTTAAGTCCAAATTTCTTCTCGCAGTTATCGCATGCGTAATCTTTGCGATCGTCGTGGACTGTTCTTTGGTGCTTTAACAAATCTGATTTTTGTCCAAATTTCGTCTCGCATTTGTTGCATGCATAATCTTTGCGATTTTCGTGAACTATTTTTTGATGTTTTTTTAAATTGCTTAAATGCCCAAATTTCTTATCGCACTTGTCGCATTCATAATCTTTTTGACCTTCGTGGACTGTTTTTTGATGCATGAATAAATTAAATTTTTTGGCAAATGTCTGCTCGCATTTGTCGCATACGAAATCTTTGCGACCTTCATGTACTGTTTTTTGGTGTCCAAGCAAATTCGCTTTATGTCCATATTTCTTCCCGCACATGTTACATGCATAATCTTTCCGACCTTTGTGTACCGTCTCTAAGTGGATGAGCAAATTAGTTTTTTGAGTAAACTTCTTCTCGCACTTATCACATGCGAAATCTTTGCGACCTTCGTGAACTGTCTTTATGTGTATGAACACACTCTTTTTTTCTGTAAATTTTTTTTGGCACTTGTCGCAAGCGAAATCTTTCCTAACCTCGTGGACTGTTTTATGGTGCTTTAACAAATCCAATTTTCGTCCAAATTTTTTTTCGCTGCATGCATAATCTTTTTGACCTTCGTGTACTGTCTTCTGGTGGAAGAGAAAATGCGATTTTGTTGTAAATATCTCCTTGCACTTGTCACATGTGAAATTTTTGCAACTCTCATGGACTGTCTTTATATGCAAAAGTAAACTATTTTTCGCATCAAATCTCTTCGCGCACACTTCACATAAATAATTTTTGAAAACTTCGTGGAATATTTTGTTATGCTTAAGTAAAGTTAATTTATTTTCAAATTTTTTCTCGCACTTGTTGCACGTAAAGTTTTCACAATCTTTATGAACTAATTTTTGGTGCGTAAGCAAACTCGATTTTTTCACAAATTTTTTCTCACACTTGTCACATGCAAAATCTTTGCGGGCTTTGTGTTCTGATATTTGGTGCCTACTCAAATGACTTCGGAACTCAAATTTTTTCTGGCACTGGTTACATGCAAAATTTTGTCGCTCATTGTGAATTGTATCTCGGTGTGTTATGCCTCTGAGTTGTGTAAATGCCTCCTTACCAATATCACAAATATGTTGTTTATCGTTTGAAAAAGCAATGTCGGGCTCACTCAAATTGTCTTTTGAGACTACTTCCTCGGATTTCTTCTCACTTTTATCCATTTCAGTTCTTTAATTAAATGATGGTTTTTTTTAGTTAAGAAATTGAATGAGTAAAATTTATCGTTTGGTAATATAGCTTGGTTCGTCGAGAATGACAATATTCAAACTAATTAATTTTTACTGTATACATGATCAGTGTGTCGAGGGTCGATGTAAAAATCGTTTATGACTGTATTGTTTACAATTAAGTTACCGATTCATTTGTTTATATAATATATATTATATTGTTCTTTTAAGAGTTGAACTAATTTGTCGATGATTCCTTTGAGGAATTTTCATGGCCTTCTAAAACTAAGTACTTCTCAAAATAATTCTGACAGACAATTTAATGTCGAGTGAATAGATTCTTTTAGGCATGATGTATAAGGATTTAAATTAATTAATAAATTTGCCGTCCCTACGCCATGTTAGATTGGTGAGGGCAGTATCTCCCTGGAGTCTTATCTCCATGGATATCCCTGCGAAAAGCGAAAATTGTATAGTTACACAATATTTTATTGGTGCCTTCAGAGCTAAGTTGCGAATTTGCTTCTCCTTTCCAAATCAATCAATTGTTTGTTGGTGTCGCGTTGAACATTTCTCGACATAGCATATGGTAGGAACTTGTGACACTGATGAGGCCATAGACCTAAGGTATTCAACAGAATTGAATAAAGATTGACCACGACAATGAATAAAGATCTGATGGTGGTGGATATCACGAGTCTCAAGTAAATCATAATTATATTGGCACAATTTTTATTGAAATTTTAGGAAAATATCTACATAAGTATTTACACCTCCTTATGATTGTCAAAAAAAAATCGTTTTCATTAGTTCACTGATGAGATATACGCTATTTTTTAAGGAACTATTCCGAGCAATTATTCATGAAGAGTATTAAGACTGGATTATCATCCGATGTAACATTGGATGTAATTGCGCATATTTTCCATTGCGAGAAAAAAAGGTAGTTTTGTGAATTTTATAGACTGCTTTTCACTGTCAACTCAAATTCGATGTAGGTACACAAAATCTTAATGATCTTTGTGAACTGTCATTTGGTGCTTCAAAAAATCTGATTTACTTCCAAATTTCCTCTCACTCTCGTCGCATGAGTAATCTTTGAGGTCTTTGTGTACTGTCTTTTGGTGTCTTAGCAAATTGCTTTGTATCCCAAATTGCTTTCCGCATTCATCGCATTCATAATCTTTATGATCTTCATGGACTGTTTTTTGGTGTCTAAGCAAATTCGGTTTGGTACCAAATTTCTTCCCACACTTGTCGCAAGCATAATCTTTCCGACCTTTGTGTACCGTCTCTAAGTGGGTGAGCAAACTAGGTTTTTGAGTAAACTTCTTCTCGCACTTATTACATGCGAAATCTTTGCGACCTTCGTGAACTGTCTTTTGGTGCTGAATCATAATCCATTTTAGTCCAAATTTCTGCTCGCACTTGTCGCACGAGTAATCTTTGCGACCCTCATGAACTGTTTTTTGGTGCTTCAACAAATGTGATTTTTGTCCAAATTTCGTCTCACATTTGTCGCATGCGAAATCTTTACGACCCTCGTGAACTAACTGTTGGTGGTTAAACCAATCTGATTTAAAACCAAATTTCTTCTCGCATTTGTTGCATGCAAAATCTTTGCGATCGTTGTGTATTCTTTTTTGGTGCTTGATTAAATTTGATTTACTTCCAAATCTCTTCTCGCACCTATTACATGCGTAATCTTTGCGACCCTCGTGGACTGTCTTTTGATGTTTTATTAAATTGCTTAAAACCCCAAATTTTTTCTGACATTTGTCGCATGCATGATCTTTGCGGCCTTCGTGTACTGTAATTTTGTGTATAAACAAGTTATTTTTTAGTCCAAATTTTTTTTCGCACTTGTCGCACGCATGATCTTTCTGACCCTCATGGACAGTCCTTTGGTGGGAGAGCAAACTCACTTTTTGTGTATATTTCTTTTCACACTTGTCGCATGCGAAATCTTTTTGATCTCCGTGGACTGTCTTCAGGTGAATGAGCAAATGAGATTTTTTTTCAAATTTTCTCTCCCAATTGTCAAATGAGTAATCTTTGTTTACTTTGCAGGCAAAATCTTTTCGACCTGCGTGAACAGTCTTCAGGTGAAAAAGAAGATCGGATTTATTCCTAAATTTCTCCTTGCACTTGTCACATGTGAAATTTTGGCAACACTCATGGACTGTCTTTATGTGCAAGAGTAAACTATTTTTCGTATCAAATCTCTTCGCGCACACTTCACATAGGTAATTTTTGAAAACTTCGTGGAATATTTTTTTGTGCTTGAGTAAAGTTGATTTATTTTCAAATTTTTTCTCACACTTATTGCACTTAAATTTTTCTCGATCTTTGTGTACCAATTTTTGATGCGCAAGCAAACTCGATTTTTTCACAAATTTTTTCTCGCACTTGTCACATGGAAAATCGTTGCACCCTATGTGTTCTGATACTTGATGTCTACTCAAATGACTTCGGAACTCAAATTTCTTCTCGCACTTGTTACATGAAAAATTTGGTCGTTCATCGTGAATTGTGTCCTGGTGTGTTATCATATTTGATTCAAGTGTAAATACCTCTTGGCAAATATCACGAACGTATTTTTTGTCGTCTGAAACAACAATGCCGTGTTCACTTAAATTATTTTCCGAGGCAACTTCATCGGATTTCTTCTCACTTTTATTCATTTTGGATTAAACGATGGATTCTTCTATTTAAGAAATTCAATTAGTAAAATGTATTTTCTGGTACTATTATGACGTGTTTCATCGGGAAAGACAACATTCAAACTAATTTATGTTCACGATAAACATGATTAGTGTGTCGAGGAACCGTGCCAAAATTGTTTATGATCATATTGTTTACAAGTAATTTACTGATTTATTCATTTGTGATTGTTCTTACAACATTTGAAATCTTTAAAATTCTAACTTGAGGATGATTCCTTTGATAATATTTCATTGGTGCCTTCAACGCCAAGTTGCGAATTTGCTTCCCTTTTTCAAATCAATCAATTGTTTGTTGGTGTCGTGTTGAACATTTCTCGATATAGTATATAGCAGAAACTTGCCACATTGATTCACGAGGCCGATGACATAATGCTTGGCTCGAATCAACAGAAAAATTTTGCGATCGAGCGGACAATTCGATTCCCTGGACATATTATTCTAAGTAATATGACAAAAAAAAAACAAACGACAGTCAACTTGGTTAGCGACTGAAAAGATTATGAGAGATTCAAGTAAGAATCAGGATCGCGTTCGCCGCGCAACAATTCGATCACCGACAGTTCATAATATATGATTTAAAATCTATCCTCAAAACCCCAAAAATACAAAATTCGTAAAAATCATTTGCCGCTGGGACTATAAAAAAGAACCAAATTACGAGTAAAGCTCCATCGAGACGGGTCTTTATCCTCTGCGGGTCGCGTTTCATTTATACGAGCCGTGAGATAGCCGCGCAGCGTCGAACTTGCGCATCGCGCGGTGTTTCTCACTTGCTGCTGTTATGTTATATACACTTATACTACAGCGCCGTCAGTCGCCGAATAGTCGATCGGCGGAGCCACGCCGCAGCGGCGCAGATAATATACACCGTCAGAAAGAGACAGACGATTGATACTCCGGTGTGCGCACTGCCGTGGATTGTATATAGCTGTGCTGTGCTAGTGTGTGTGTGTTATACTGTGTATACCGCGTGTAAGTGTGTGTGTGTTCGTCGAGTGTGCGCGTGCACTACACACTGCCGTAATATTATACATCTGTCTCCTCAGTCGCTGCTCCCGTCGTCGTGGTGTGTCTGCACCAGTGAGATAATACGCATACGCATTTCGTGCACGAAAAATCCGACGAGGTTTCTCGTTTGACTGTTTGACGCGTGTGTGCGATCGAGCTTTGAAGTTTCGAGACTCTCGAGAGATTCTCTCCAATTGCGCGGCGCACGGAGGATACAAAAACACAGGCAGTAATGATGAGCAACGTACCAACAGGTGAGTCACTCGCTTTTGCTCGATTATTAAGTTAAAATACCGTGTACGTCAAAACTTCGTCAGGCAGCATCGCGTAGCACACGTCATAAGGTCCTATTCGAATCAAAACATAGTCTTGATGGACCCTCGACTGGGACACATGCTGTACACAGAGAGGACTGCAGCCGAGTGTGTCTCGTCGTCGTCGTCGTCGCTCGCGAAAACGGCAGCAGATGCGTGTACATAACCTACGCGAGAGGCGGTTGATCGGGTTGTCAACTTTTCGCGCTGAGAGAGGTTAGACTGCGCCTGCCAGTCGTGCCTTTGTTTTTATTTACCTGCGCCGAGGCATTTTGCGATGCCGAATTCATTTTGCGACGTTGCAATTGTATCTTAATTCAATTTTGCGAATAACCATTCGTTATCAAGCGTTATTCTGCGCTCGCTCGTGCGTACAAATTTCAATCGAACGTAGCTCAACTATGAGCAAATTTTCGCAAACTTATGAATATTTATGCGACTGCAGCCTTGAATCTATTTAGCGTCCAGTAACGAGCATAATAATCGTTGAGCGTCGTTGAAATTTTAACGCCAAGTTTGGCTACACGATGTTATTGACTGCAGACGATTGATAGTGTCGAGTGCAATACGATATCTTGGATATGTTTTGTAAAAGCTTATAACCCATGGTATTTCATTCATTCGCACCGAGCCACGCACCCGTCAACACAAGGGACTCTTTGAAGTTTCGTTCGGATGATAGGTTTACGATTGGGTATATTTTTAAAAGTACAAAGTGCTTATCTCCGTCATTTCCGTTTGGCGAATTTCCGTGTACAAAAAGGGGGAAAAAGTAATAATCTGGATGAAAGAAACTAGCAGCCACGTTTTGCTTATGAATATAATTTTTTTTATGCTTCAAAACGGCCTTGACAACCCATTCTATTACAATACATTTCAGCTGGAAGCTAACGAAGCTAATTAAAATAGTGAAAGTGTTTGTTATGTCTACTTATTAGACCAATCTTATTTCATTCGGAGCTCATCATCGTGGTGTATGAATGAAAATTGAGTTTAAATCGACTCCTTCTATTTGCTCATGCTCGAATGTAATTTCTATTCCACCCGAGTAAATAAGAAGCAATTATTAGTTTGTTGACTTTTGCATCGCTCGAAGCCTCAAAAGTCAAAATTACAGAATAATTTCTCTCGTCAAAGTGTTTGTATCTATATATCGATTTTGCAAATACTTATTGATCGAAACTAAAATTGTACGCGTTTACCCTTATCGGCAAAAAAAAGTCAGATAAAAGCTCGGCTCGAGTGACATAATGGGCATAGGAAATTATTAGGAAATCGCGCCTAGTGTATACGTACACTAATCGATACAAGTATCGAGTTATTAGCACGTGAGTCGGTGCCCATTTACCAAATGTCTCCGTGTAAATACGCGCCATCGTGGATCGAAAATTTATCATCGATAAACGATGGTCATGGTTCATTATCTACGTATTTTAATTACAATTTTACAATGTACAGTAGCGTATGTAAATGTAACGACATCGACGATCGACGCAGAGCCGAGTCTTTTTTTTTTCGCCTACGTATAGTCGCGCACAGGCTTACTGCTTCTTTTCTCTTCGTTTCTCTCTTCTGTACTTATAGCTGTACTACCCGTATAGCACGTATATGCACACGCACACACACTGAGACACCGCGACGTGCTCAATCCCGCGCGCGGCACATCGGACGCGACTACGTTAATTTAATATATATAATATCGAGGGAGAGGGCACGTGACGCCTGTGCAGCGAGACTAGCACAGCCCAGAGCTTGTGCATTATTATACAGCGACGAACCCTTTGAACGCGTCGCGCTGCAGTCGTCGTGCTAACGTCGACCCAATGACTCTCGGTCGAAATCTTTTCTCGCATTCAATCGGCATCGATCGACGCCAAGCATAATGGCCAAGCAGAGGGCCATGTCGAGCCCTTACGCGTACAACTATCCGAATCCACTGGGAGGTTTGTTGTCGATTATAAACGTAAACAACGAGCTTGCAGCTGCTAATAGCGCCAGTATATACTTTGTACGTTGCAGTAGAAGCTAGAGTAAACGATTCCATGTATCGTTCCGATGAGCTTCTGATAAAGCTTGCGGATGATTCGTCATACTCGGCCGGCTTTTGTATGATACGATGGCGCGCGTAGTGTCGCTAATCCATCGATTTTCCCTTATCTGCCACGGTTTCGATGCACAGTTAAAGGCATGACGAATAAAAGTTGATTCCAACGCGATAACTGGAAATCGAATTTCGTTGTTGATTTTCATCGTTTGACCGTATGACGAGTAATATCGATTCAAACGCGATAACTGGCAATTTTGACGATTCAATTTTTGTCAATTCTGTTATTATTGTTGTTGGTGTTTTTTTCA